GGCAGGAAGGATTCCTCCCAGTAGAAACCCAATACTTACGGCTTTCCATCCTTCCCAAGAATGACACCCTTGGGAAATTTCTGGGGCGGCTCTGTCGTTGTTACTGTGGCTGCGACGGACTGTGGTTCCCTGGTATCATCAGCCATGTTGAATCCGCCGCAAAACTCCTGCCAGGATCGATGAGGGCTTGTGAGCGCGCGTAGAAAATCGGTATGCCGTTACTGACGCCGAATACTTGCTCGCGCTGGTCGAGTGCGTGATGGTTCGTAAGGTGTCGGACGGGCATTGATTTGTCAAAATAAATCTAGCTCCCTCACAAGCCGCCCGGCCCTCCGAAGCTGGCCCCGCTGTCGCCGGACCTGCGCTAGCACCTCTTATCGATAAAGCTCCCATCAGGTAGGGCGATGGACCTCGCCCCGGTAGGTGGCCGACGTCAGAGAGCATTTTCGCCTGTCGGCCCCACCATCTTCAGCATGCATAGCTGGTATCTCTTCACAATCTCGAAAACATAGCTCGATGCTGCAGGCAGCCCTTCCGACCATCCTACTTCCATACTCGATTTGTGTGTACTGGTTTGGCACCTAGATTGGTAGAAGAGAGCTTCACCGAGAGAATGGCTTCCGATTCCAGTGGCGATCGTGGGAAAATACCCATCTTGTTGCTCAAGACGAAATCAAGCCCCGGTGATGCTTATGAAGATCTCTTCTCCAGCCCGCAAGGGAGTCTTGATTTTGAACCAGACTTTGTGCCGGTGCTTGAGCATAGGTTCGAAATCGGGGGAATGAAGAAGTTCGACAGCCTACTCCAAGGGCGACAAGTTGCATCGTCTCCCGAAAGCCAGTATGGCGGCTTGATTTTCACATCGCAGAGAGCAGTGGAGGCATTCGCCAAGCTCGTGCTGGATGGAAAGGGTACGAATGCTCCCCCTCCCCAAAAGCATGAAGTCAATCGGCAGCAACTCTGATGATTGGGAAGGAAATGACGATAGGTGGCCTCACTTGCAACAGGTCCCCATCTACAGCGTCGGCCCGGCGACTACGCGGGCATTGAAGGCGGTGCAGCAGGAGCCTCCGCTTCAAATCTTCGGCGATCATACAGGCAATGGAGATGAATTGGCCAAGTTCATTTTGGAACATTATGGACAGTGGTATGCAGACCGGGACACGAAGCCGCCGTTACTGTTTCTTGTTGGTGAACAGAGACGGGACATCATCCCCAAGTCACTCATGGACGAGTCTCTGGCGTCGGATAGACGGATCCAGGTGGATGAGATTGTAGTGTATGAGACTGGTGTTATGCAGTCATTCTTCTACGATTTCCAACGGGTACTGGAGACCACAAAAATTTCCAAGATGAGGTGGGTTGTCGTCTTCTCCCCGACCGGCTGCGAAGGCATGTTGCGTGCCCTGGATGCACTTGATTCCAATGGAAAGGCGAAGTCAAAAGAGCCTGAGAGGACAACCTTCATTGCAACAATTGGGCCAACAACTCGTACTCATCTGACCAAAGTCTATGGGTTTGAGCCAGATGTATGCGCTGAGAAGCCGTCCCCCGAAGGCGTCAGAAACGGGATTCTGCAGTTTGTAGATGACTTAACAAGATGAAGTTGATCAACCAATGACGCCTGTCTCAGATGCAGGTGTCCGTTCACCTGTTCGCATGCAATTTCGTTCTGTGACGCTGAAAGACTGAGGAGTTTTGAGATATACTTCAAAATCGCGAACTGTGTCAAGCCACAAATGGTGCTAAATATGCGCCCAGCAATTGGATTGCTAGGAGATGCGTCGCCGTTGGATACCACCGCACGATCGATCTACAGGAGTACTGCACATCTCAGGCCGTCAGTCTTCCTTTCTAGCTCCTATTCTGTAGTTACAACGTTAAGGCTTCCATCCCCCCCCCCCCCCACCATTAACCGGGACGAAGTAAGCTTTAACTAGCACTAATCAACCACTAATATTAAGGATTCTTACCTAAGGCGGGGGAAGCGGCTGGATGGCAGCCTCCGCGTCACAGTGGACTTATACATACATCCATGCCTGCTCTTGGCCAGCTAGCCAAATTCCTGATTCCTGTCTTCTTCGTCCCTCGTTCTCTACAACAATCAGATGAGGCTGATACCCTTCAAAAAGATCCAAACTCGTCGTAGCATACATCCGAACTGGCCTTTTGTTTTTACGTCATCGCGCACTGGGACGTAGTCTGATGAGTTCGAAATAACTGGAAATTCAGTTCGGGCAACAATGAGCTACTATCAGCAGCCTCGAAGCAGCAACACCCAGCAGCACCCCGTCGATTACTCACCCGACTCGAGCGGAGCCGTGACGCCGACCACCACCTCCGCCGGCTCCTCAACCTTCCTGTCGTCCTCCCTCTCGGGCCTCGTCGGCGGCCTGGGCGGTCTGGTGCGCCGCTTCTCGTCCGACGTGGCCGGCAACAACCACGACTTCTCCCGCTCGCCTTCCTCCCCGCCCCCGATCTCCAGAGGAACGAGCTCTCTCTCGCACTCCTACAACAGCAGGAACAACGGCATTGACGGTGTATACACCCCGCCAACACACAGGACCGCATCACCCATGAGGCCGCCGCCCTTGGAGCCGCTAGAGCTCCGTGGCTTCAGAGATGACACTGCATCCTCAGCGAGGCTACTCACCACCACGATTGCAGAGGAGATTCGCATCATGGTTCCAGAGCGACAGCGTATAGAAGACGCTTGGCACCTGGTGTACAGTCTGGACCAGGACGGCGCCAGCCTGGCAACTCTGTACAAGAAGTGCCAAGCCTACGAAGGGCGAAGAGTCAGCTTCGTGCTGGTGATTAGAGATAATGATGGAGGGGTCAGTCCAGGAACGAAACTTCCCGCGATAGCTCCTCATTGCTAACGAAAGTCTCTACAGCTGTTTGGCGCCTATCTCTCTGACTTCCCCCATCCAGCAGCGCACTACTTCGGCAACGGCGAGTGCTTCCTCTGGCGTGCCTCCGTGCTAGCCTCTCTGCCGCCTCCGCCGTCCGCCGACACAACCAATCTCACGACCCGGAGCACAACCATTGCCTCGCCAACTTCCTCAACCTTTCCCCCATTTGCTCGTCCTCAGTCGCCAAACCAGTCTTCGCCATCCACGTCCACACCATCCCTGCTCGCGCCCACGCAATCCTCCTCCTCCCGCGGCTCAGGGGCAACCAGCCCGGCCATCCCGCCCTCGCCCTCAATCCGCTTCAAGGCCTTCCCCTACAGCGGCGTCAACGACTTCTACATCTACTGCGAGTCGCACTGGCTGTCCGTCGGCGGCGGCGACGGCCACTACGGCCTGTGGCTGGACGACGGCCTGGCCAAGGGCGTGAGCTCGCGCTGCCTGACCTTTGGCAACGAGCCGCTGAGCGACGAAGGCGAGAAATTCGGAGTCCTCGGCGTCGAGGTCTGGGTGGTCGGTCGTGATCGGCCGTGAGCTGAACCTCTTCTTGCGTGTCGAGACATGGCACTGGACTAGTTTGTTTTGTCCTTTACAAAATCTGGTGTTTGGAGTCCGGGGGATGCATATGGCTTGGATCTCGGTTGCTTGGAGGATACAAGGGCTATATACAAGGATTGGTCATTTCTTCAGACATTGCGAGTGATGAAGCGCGGGGACTATTAATGACACGAGTTTACGGACAGGTTGGGCACATGATGAACTGCGATGGGAAACTGATTTACCCATAGCTATGACGCCCGCTTGGGTGGGAACTCGCCTCTTCTTAAACGACAATCTCCAGACTAGGTTGCAAGGCTACAAAAATATGATACCCCAAGTATTCAAAAGAATGGCGCAACCACTATGGTCTAGAATGAGATGTGGTTCAGTACTGACAAGACCATGTGACAAAAAGAATCAGGAATATGAAATTGCTCGACTTCTATGCAGGGGTTAACTGTACTCATCACACATTACAGCTATATAAGCTCCTGGCATGCTTTCCTCCCAGCCCTCGCAGCAGAGACTCATGGTCTGCTGTGCCCACTTCAGAAAAAAAGGTGCCTCTTGGGGAACGGCGATAGTCATTGTAATCAGTCATCATCTCTTAGGAACGCCAGGAACCGGCAAAGCGTGCATATACCTCATCTCATGTGATGTAAACAGTGAAATTGACTTGAGCGTGTGGAGTTCCTCCCAACAGCGGCCGTCCTTCCGCTCCTCATAACCGTTCTCTTTTTTTTCCCCTCCCCGTCAGGCTTTCACCAACATATCTGTGGGTATAAATAGACATGTCTTTACTTCACTTGCAACCCCGATATCCCTCATCAATTTGGCCAAATTACCTCATAATTTCCTGGTAGATCAGCTGCTTCAGCTGCTCCTTGCTCAGATTATCCTTGTGCTTGTCAAAGTCGAAAAACTCCTCGGGGATAGGTGGTGCCGTGGGCTCGTCCTCGGGATCATGATACGGCTCTAGATACGGATGCTTCAGCGCCTCCTCCACCGTAATGCGCTTAACCGGATTGAAGGCCAAAAGCTTCTCGAGAAGGTCAAGGGCCAGGTCTGATGTCTTGGGGAAGAGGGTCCTGAACGGGACCTTCTTCTTGAAGGGTAGGGATCGAATGTATTCTCTGGCGCGGCGAGACTTGATGCCATAGTAATCCTCCATTGTTGGCGTTCCCAGAACGTCGAGAATCAGGGTTAGCTGGTGGTGATCTAATAAGATTTGTTAGCACACTACGCATCACACGATTGTTCGTAGTCAGCATGGGACGACTTACAGTCCTTGCCAGGGAAGAGCGGCTTGCCACTCAGCATCTCCGCCAAAATGCAGCCCACAGACCATACGTCGATCGCCTTGGTGTATTCCTTAAATGTCAACATGATCTCCGGCGCACGGTACCATCGGGTAGCCACATATTCTGTCATGAAGCCAGAGTTGTCCTCCTGAGACGCAGCAGAACGAGCCAAGCCGAAATCGCAGACTTTCAGATCGCAATTAGCGTTGAGCAGGAGGTTGGATGGCTTGAGATCTCGGTGGAGCACATTGGCGGAATGCATGGCCTTGAGAGCACGCAGAGTCTGGTAGATGAAGTATTGGCAATGATCGTCTGAGAGATCTTGAGTGCGAATCACACGGTGCATATCAGTCTCCATCAGTTCCTGCACACCAGTTGTCAGTCTTTGGTTAATTTCATGCGACGGAAAGTCTGGCGCACCTGGATCAGATACACCTCGTTGAATGTCTCATAACTCCGAGGCTTTTGAATGTCTAGAATAGATATGATATTCTCATGGTTGAAGTATCGTAGGAGCTTCATCTCACGAAGTGTTCTCAGGCAAAACATGGAGTGATCGAAAGGTGTGATTTTCTTGATGGCAACTTTCTGGCTGGAAGGTTTATGAATCGCAGAGCTGCGCAATGCTTAGCAACAATCGCCGATTAGATACGGTCCAAGACTACTCACCACACCACGCCATAAGCGCCTTCACCAACAACATCTTGGATATCGTATTGCTCGCTGACGTTGAAGGAGATCTTGCGGGAACCCGCAGGGTTCGGAGGGTTTGTTCGAGACATTGTGAATTGCAGGCGGACTCAACCCCGAATCGAACCGCGTAGAATGGTAATTGATGACGCTGTCGAGGAAACAATGCAGGCCCCGTTGTAGAAACTCGGATAAGGAATCGTCGGGAGAAGAAGCCCAGGGGAAAGTGCAACGTCTTGTAGGTAAGCTGCAACGCGGGCGCTACCGTGGAGACTTGGTTACAACAAGGGGGGCCGTGTGGCTACGTCCGCTTGGGCCTGGATCCGCTCGGGTTGCACTCTTTGAAGCAAGGCTAAGGCGCCACGCTACTGCGCAATTGTCGTCCTTTCTTCTTTGATATATTTAAATTTACTGCTCTTTGTCAGAGCAGCCAGTAGTTGAGCGAAGTGGTAATTCTTTTTGGTCGCTGATATGTCGGTCGGGGTAGGGTGGGTGATTGCGAAGAGTCTAAGGCGGTTGAGTTGTTAACAAGAGCTGAACTTCACATAAGCGCTGGAAGAAAAGGACAGAAAGTTGATGCACAGAATTTCAGAAAGATCGGAGGATAAAAGTGACGGCGGGTGACAGAGATCCGATGTACCGGGAAGGTTGGGAATGCGAGTGGGCGGTAGCGCTTTGGTGAACCAAAGTCACGAAGATAGATGTGACCAAATCGTGTTGGAGATTGACCAGATTGACCAGGTTGCTGGCGATCTCCTGTGCCCACCCCCAGGGTTTTGCGGAGGCATTCAGACAAAAGCAAAGATCCCGGCGTGCGGCTCAGAGCTTCCAGAAGACGTCGATGGGTTGGGCACAGAGCGCGGATCGGCCATGGAGCGATGCGAAACCTCTTGTAACAGGACTCCAGACGCTTCGTCCGGTCTCTAGTCGCCGAGGATAGCAGGCGCTGGCGACACAGGACATGGCAAGGCGAGGGAGGCAAGGCGAGCCCCGGGAAAGGGGAACATGAGGCGGGTATTCCGTCAAGGTGAAGTGGAAGTGGCATCCGGCTTGGACCCGTACCTGTCTGATCTTCGGGAGGGGTACATTCTACAGACCAGACAAGACGAGACGGGCGAGGCGGGGAGGGAAGAGAGCGGCAAGGGAAAAGCAAGAGAGCTGGCGTGCTCTTGACTTGGAACGTACCTCGACTGCTCTGATATCCAAGACACCTGATTGAGATGCGTCACGCAACGAGTGATGTCGCTATGGCCGACAGCTGGTCTGGAGGAGGGGAAGAAGGAAGAAGGTTGCTAGCACGTCGACTCAAGGATGGCGAAATTGAGAGCTTGCTTGCTTGCTTGCTTATCGCAGATCGCCGGTTAAAGATTGGGTCCGTGTGAGCAGCGGCCTGAGCCAAGGTAAGTCAGTCAGGTAGGCTGCGACGGGATGTGACCGAGAAAAGCGACCGACGAGAGGCAGACAAGTTGCAAAGCTACCTACAGCTAGCAAAGAATGTCGATGATGATGGTGATGAATAGGAATGGAAGAACAGCCCGGCGGGAAAAGCTAAAGAGAGAAAGAGATCGAGTTGGCGCTGGCGAGAAGGAGGTACTCCCGCGGTGGGAGAGCAACCTAAGGCAATGAATGCATGAATGGATGGATGGGTGGGTGGATTGGACGGGAAGAGACTGGGGGCACTCGAGGAGGACCGACGAAGGAGAGGAGGGGCTAGAGGTACTATGCAGTACAGTACGGTAAGGTCAGGTAGGGGTACAGTACATACCTTTCCAAGGAGCAAGAGGAGGAGGGCCCTGGGGGTGTTCTATCCTGAGCCTGACTCTCCCCAATCAATGTAAAATGGGAAGATGGGGGGTGTGAGAGTGTGTGAGTGTGAGAGTCGGTGATGGTGATGGTGATGGTGCCGCACCAGTCTGGATCTATTCTAGGTCGAGAAAGGTATATGGCAAATATGGCCCTTTTCCACTCAGGCCGTGCCTGTCACTGCTACCCTACATAAGATCATGTACTTTGTACCTACCTAAGTAGCTACTATGTAGTGTACCGTCCCTGTAGCCTGTCTCTCCCTCTTAGATCAGAAAGAGAAAGGCCCAGGAGGTGGAAGAGGAGGAGGGCTGAATGGTTGGATGGCTGGATGGCTGGAGGGGGAGAGTGGAGGGGTTCAGAGAGGGTCTCGAGGGGCTTTGCTTTGCTTTGCTTTCCATTGAGCCTTCCAAGGGTTGAGGGGACTCGACAGCAATGGATTGGATTGGAAAAGAGGAGGGGCCCAATCTGAAGTGTCCTTGAGCCCCTTATTCGGCTTAGCACGCCCGGGCCATGGCCCCAGCGGGGTCACCCGTCGCCGGAAAGTCTTCATGGTGCGACAGGGGGGGTCTGACCGTCTCAACAGCCCAGGAACCTACCCCCTTCGCACATCTCCAGTATATCCTTATCAGTATTTGTACGGAAGTCTGCCGAGCTATTGTTAGTGGTGTACTCCTTCAAACGTGCTAAAATCTTCCGAGGTCGAGAACGTTCGTTCGTTCCGTAGTTACCTAAGTAGAGCTATCCAAACTTAAATGTGCATCTCTTGGTTGTCTATCTACCTACATACAGCATTAATCGCGACTGGGAGGCGTCGGTCAATGAGTCTCTCCTTTTTACCGCCAGCTCTGTTCTATAAATTGACATCCCGTCCTTCTACAAAATTGATCGTGGAGCATTGTACAATACAGGCTCCCAGGCTTGGTTGGTGTGGACGGATCGCTACTTAGTCCAACTTTGTAACAGCTAACTTGGACTGGAGATACCAAGGTGGTAATCAAGGAGGCGGCTAAGTTACGGTAAGATAGCCACTCGGGCGTTTCGGTAAGCACCAAAGACTCAACAAAGTGAGTACACCCAGCCGCCTCAGGTGAATAGTCACCTGGTATCCCCGTATTAAGTCGTGCTGAAGAGGTCAACAAGAAAAAAAAAAGACACACCTGCCATCCCATTTCAATCAGCAGAATATCGACATAATTTAATGCAGAAGCTCTAGTTAAACACAGCCTCAAAATGGGCATCATGAGGCCGTCACAGCTATTGACTCAACATCCCGTCTTCGCCATGGCTATGGAAAATCCTGCGCTCAAACACTCTATGTGAAGAGCAATGTGACTGACGCTCTGACCAACCACAGCACGAATTAGGCGCCCGCTGTGAAGTCCGGCGCGTGTGTTTCAAGTCACACTCGACGCCGTTTCATGACTGGCCGAGGGCGATGTGACCAATGCAGGTGTGTGCCAGACGACCAGATTGACACCATCCCCTCCCATGCAGCCCAACGGGGTCGCATATGGCCGTTGTTGGCTCTCTTCACCAAAAATAGCCTCCTGACCTCTCAGTCCTGCATCTCTCTGTGTTCCTGTCGGCTCTTGACATGCAGCCGGGCTATTGTGCATTCGCCCCAGCTTATCTATGTGCAACAGCCCTGGGGGGNNGGGGGGGGGGGGGGCAGCTATTCTCAAACTCCCGCGATTCACGCGCAAGCCTTTTTGTGACTGCCTCCATGTGACTTGTGGAGTAGCCTGAGCCCGTCTGTGTAGAGATAGCCCGTGATGACCTGGTATCATCCATGTGACGAGATATACTCATCGGCCTTACTTCACATACATCGCACGCTCCGCATGCTCGAGCTAGGCGCCGAGGTGATCAGTTCCCCGGCATCCGATATATTATATGTGGGACTGTACCTGTCCCGCAACAAGCTTCCGGCAGTCTGCTGCAGAGCTAGTATGCTGTCTCAGGAACGCAAATTTCTTAGACGTAGCGGGTTGGTTTGGCAAAGAAAACAGAATTGGAGCATCCCTGCCGTGTACATCGCTGCCACGATTATTACTACGCAGGACACTTACTTACTGTTGAATCCCTGGTCCACTTGCGTTGCTTACCCTCTTGACCATAGTGATTGAAGATGGGGTCGTCACCGGCCGGAAGAGAAACCTGCCGACCACCCTGTTAACCCGGCTCAAGCCCGCCCCCGCTGGACTAGAAAGATCACTGTAGCAAGTTTACTTATGGTTCATGTTTCAAAACATGTGATGACTTCGAGCGTTGTATTTTACTAGATTTCATTCGCTTCTCTTGACTTCATTATCTCCCCAGTCTATACAAATATAGCCTCCACAACTGGTACTCCGCACAAAACCATTTCTCACTGGACAACCTAGTGAACCACAGAGTCAGTATGTGTATTCTAAATCAAATAGGGAGGTTTAACCTGCCTTCTCGCGTAATTGTCCGAGAAATTGCGGGAATGACGTCCCCTGGTCGGCTCGATCCTCCACGAGCAATGTCTGGGCCCAGAGCTTGAGGCTGGGTTCGCCATCTTCACGGACGATATAAAGATGGGGCAGGGTGATGCTACCAACGCCGCGTGACTTGTAGTCTCGACTCTTCTGGATGACGGCCCGGACTCGCTCATTGAAATCGTTGTCTAGTTCTGGTACTGTGCCCTTGCCAACTCTCAACTGTGTCCTGTCTGACACACCAAAGACGTCTGCCAAGAGTTGGGGCACTGCGTCTCGGCCGACCCAGAGGAACTGAGTCTGGCCGTCATCGATCAGATAAAGACCATAAGGAACAAATCTTTCCGATGAGAGATTCAGAGGCGGCGGCAGCACAATCTGACTCGTCTCGGGATCCGGTACGCCAGCTGTATCGGGCATATCATGTAGTGAGTAAAGGCGTGGGTAGATATACTGCATCAACAAGGGTAAGGGGAGCGTCGACAACAGACATAGTGCAGCAGACCTCAAATCGGACGGGATCTGAGCTGACTTGCGCAAGCCAACATTCTTGATTAAACCTAGGAAAAGAGTAGGAAGCCCACGCAGATTCGAGGGGAATTGCAGACCACCACCCATGCTGCCACCAGCCAGCTCTTTCCGGAAAGTCTGGAGAAGCTCAGTCACCTTGCTCTGTAAAGAGTCTCGTGCTGCGTCCAGGCCGCTGCTGAGTGCCCTCTCAACCGCTTTGTGGCTGAAGTACGTCGTAATAGCCTGTTGGTCTGCTGAAGCATAGACATCGGCGAGAGTGGTGGTAGTAGGGAGGGCAAGCGTCAAAACTCGGATGCGCCGCTCACCGTTGCAGGTGGTGTGCAGGACGGCGGCTTGCATGCAAACAATGTTCTTGGTGAGACTCTCATCGATGGCCACTTCGACGACATAACACTGGTCCCTGGGGAATGCAGGGAAAGCGCAGAGATCAGAGCTTCGGTTGAAGAAATTTCCATAGAATGTGCTCATGCGTAGACCGGTGGTAGCACGGACACGGAGTACAGCCTCCAGACCGATTTCGGAAGACAAGAAGTCACTGAACTCGGAGGCAAACTTGATAGCATCCTCCGGCCGGCCGGCATTCCAACCCGGGTAGAACCACGTCTGACCTCCGGTGTATCTCGGTAGATTGCTCAGAGATGCAACATCTTGATACTGGGAGGAGAACAAGAACATATCAATGGAAACCTGGTTCTTAGAGCATTCTACCGCGAAGCTCTTGTAGAAACTATTGGCGGTTTGAAGGAGACTACTTTCTTTGGAAGTTCCTAGTAGCTTCTTGTCTTCTCTCATTTCGAGCTTGCCGTAGCCGACGTTGGGTAGGGATGCGCTGAGGACAACAATCTTACCTCCCAAAGGAGAGATGAGCTTGTGACCAGCCCTCAGAGCAGAGCCCATGCAAGACCCATTGTTCTGATTGTTGATGAACATATCGGGGAGCTTCTGAAGGAAGGTCTCGATGCTCTGGCGACACTCTGTCAAGGGCACGAGAAGCTCCTGCGGAACGGGAAGGAATGGCTCATCCAAGTCGCTTACAACGAGCATGCTCGTCTCGCCACTCTCCTCGCCATCCTTCGGAATAGCAAAGTAATGAAGACTGGAGTCGACGGCAATGAATCCGAGACGAGTGCGGCGATCGGCATTTGGTATCCTGTTCAAGCTATCGAGGATAGTTCGAGCGCTTGTCGCAAGGAGGCCAGTGGACACGGCAGCATAGCTGACATCGAAAAGGAATAGGTAGACAAGCGGCTGAGGGGGTCGAACCATGTACTCCTGCGGAGCTACAAACTCTACCACGGAATGGTTCAGCTCGTGCCGTTGCCAACGATCCACACTCTTCTGAGCGGCTGCGTCCCAATCAAAAGCCTGAGGCACATCATTAGATAGATTGCACATGTTGCAACGCCATCTATGTCCATGATCCAGGAATGTCACATATGGATTGATGTAAGAACGACATCTTCGACAGCGGCTGATGACCTGATCCTGAACAATTGGCACATTATCGTCCATATCATGCAGAGCCGCATAGGGCTGGATGACTAGAGCAAATGGTAGTCTCGACTTCTTAAGAAGAGAGTGAGTCGTCGGGACAGCATTGAGGGTGGATCGGATGTATTTGGGCGGGCAGTTCGAGTCAGGAGAAGCAGTAACGCTGGACTGGACATTATGTTAGCAATCGAGAAGGCAGAGAGAATTCGCAGTCTCACATTGGGTGGAAGGATAATGGGCGGGGGTGGCAGGTCTAGCTCAGAAACATTGAACGGCTGGTTCAACAGGTCCGTCGGATACAGCTGGTTCAATGGGCCAGGCCGCGGTTGAGCAGCAGCAGCAGGTTGCGCAGGCTGCCCGGTGCCTCCGAGTTGCATGCCTGCCATGCCTTGTGTGAGGCCAGACACTCCGCCCGGACCGGCTGGTGCTCCAGACGATGGGTAGTAGGGCTCGGGAGCCTGATATCCACCAGCGCCGGTAGCTTGTACGGGAGAGCCATACGGCTGAGGGGCACCATATGGCGAGGCTTGCGGTTGTTCTGGAGCAGGGTAGCCACCATATCCTGTGGCTACCGGTTGAGGAGCACCAAATTGCCCCCCTCCTTGTTGCTGACCGCCGACTGCCGCATTGGCACCGCTGCCAACGTCAAAGGCTCCCGCCGCATAAGCTCTCTTCTTCTTCTTGCCATGGTCTGCGGCTTGAGGGGCGGTCGCCGAGGGAGGGGGTGAGCCTGCTGGGTTCTCATAGCCGGCGGCAGCTGGGTCGGGGTATCCTGCCTGCTGACCATAAGGTTGCTGGGGATATTGGCCGTAGCCATCGTTTGGAGCCGACATCTTGAAGCAAGATGAAGGCGGCGAGGGGTTATGGGTCGCGAGGACCGGACCAGAGAGACGGTGAGCGGGCTGCCACGACAGCTAGATGTTGAACAGGTGTTGACACAAAAGCAGCGCAGTTAAAAAAGATGAGGCTCTGCAGTCGGCGATGCAAGATTCGACAGGAGGCGGTGATCTATGATCTTTAATCGTGGTCTGGCGGGGGAGGATGTGAGGTGCAAGTTATAGCTCTTGGCCTTTCCCGGTTTGGGAGACGAGGCAAGCTGTCCTTCGGTCAAGTTCCAGGGGCGAGCTGTGCGCTGCAGCCGGATTGGAATTCTCGAGGAGCTGCTGGATCGAATGCCGGTGATAGGGCGATGCTTGGTCTGGCGTGCGAGTATGACTCCGGCCCGCAGAGACGGGGCAGATTGAGAACACTCTGGCTGGAACCCAGTGCAGTGGACAAGATGTTCCCAAGTCGGTAAGGTGAGGTGTGGGTAGGTAGGTTACTTACTACCTGTTGACTTTCTGCTGTCTCCCACCACCAAACCTCACCCTGCACCTTCCACTCGCCCTGCTAATGAGTGATGTGCGGACAGCGCACGGGCCATCTGGAGCCGCCTGCTGAGTCTGCTGATGTCTCACGTGACTGATTGAGCGGGTTTCGTTCCAAGGCAGGAGGTAGAGCTCTAGCTGCAGCACCACGTAATTACCTAGGAGGTGACTAATGAGTGTTAGGTAAGGTATCTGCTCTGCTCTCCAGTCTCTCCAGTAGGTGTGGGGCAGGTCTGATTTTTGGGAGGGGTTGGCATTGTTGGAGCACACCTGCATCCATCCAACAGAGCACCGTTTCCACTGCCCCTCCCCGCCCGAAAAACCCCCCCGCCGCCAGAAGTTACCTGAGAAATGATTCCAGGGCCCTTCCCACTCTGCCCTGGCCCAGCTGAAAGCTGACCGAGATCTACTATGTAAGGTTAGGTTCTGAGATGGAGATGGAGCGGTCCGCTAATCAATGCGTGTCTAGCTGCTGTCCCGTAAACTTGGCATCATCGGCCCCCCTCCTTCTCACCTACCTACCGACAATAAAATAAAGGCTCCCCGTTGTCGTCTCTAGCACGTGCAATTGATAAAGAGCTCTTCTCATATGTTCCAACGAGTCTCGTGCATCTGCATCTTTCATCAACCAGGCTTCCCCCATCTAAATTTGCCCAATCCGAAAAACAGCGACGAGACTCGAGGACGACGGTATTTAACCAATGTCATTGTCCTTTGTTCCCGCCACAGTTACTAGCAACCTCAAATACTCTATCCAATCTTGAAGCTTTTGACTTGAAACGGTCACGCAAAGTTACCCGATCGCCATTCGCAATTATCCATATAATCGTACAGCTCCCTCTAAATCTGTAGACGGTGAAAGATAAGCATCATGGCCTGGGGCAAGTCGAATTCAAGCCAACCTACCTCCGTCTTCAGGTACGCAACACATCCTCTGTGCGCACAAGAGAAGATGCGGCCTCTTGCCATGTCTGATCTCTTGGCACGACCATCGGCCCGCCCTCACATCGCATTGCAGAACCCTGAACTGACTCCACCAATGTGACGCACAGCCAGCTCCTCCCGCTCATCATCACCCTCGTCATCATCGGCGGCCTGGCCTTCGTCGGCTACCAGATCTACCTCAGCGTCGTCAGCATGCGGGGCAACGTCTCCCAGAAGATGGGCAAGAAGAACGTCGTCTTCACAAAGGACGGCCTGCGCGTCGGCGTCAAGCACGTCGAGAACGAGAAGTACGTCGACGCCACCCAGAGCTGGGTCGTCAAGGCCTGGAACATGAGCGGCAAGAACAAGGAGGAGGACGAGCACCACAACAAGCTCCAGAAGCGACGACAATGAGACCGAAGAAGAGAAGACTGTGTCTCGCGCGGCGGGAGCTCGAGGGATGTGCCTTGACGATGTTTCCTTGGGGCATGGGAACATATCTTCACGTCCTGGATGAACGGTATACGAACTTTTCATGATACCCACGTCGTCGAATGCTACATGGCTGGCCGGGGGTGGCCTCAATAACCTGGATCTACAGGCGTTAGATACTGGGGTGTTATATCTTGCGCAGAGTACGTATGCGTGGCTTTTGCAGACGGTTATTGCTTAGAGAATTTGTGCGCTGCACGTAAATGTTCATCAAGACAATTGGATTCTGCATTGAATTTGTGAATAATTGAAGAAGAAATTGGGTATCTGGATTGTATGCCTATGAATGAGAGGCTATTCGCACGCCTGAAGCATGCCTGTCCCTGGAGGGATAATCCGTTCCTGTGCGCCAAAATGGCCCATATACAAACAGACCTTGTTGGAATCCTTATATTCCAGACCATTAAATCGCAAGTTCACTGTAACGCCCCAGCCCACCGTAATGTCCGCGTTCTCCTAGAAGAGGACCGGATTTATCTATCCCTTGAAGACAATCGTTCCACATCATCGAAATCTTACACCCGTAGCATACGTGATGCTACACCCTCGCCCCATGAGCCAGTCTTCCCTTTGGCCTGCTGGAGCAGTTCCTTCTTCTGTTTCTCGAACTCCTCCTTTTGCATGGCTTCTCGCTGCTGGAGGGGGTTCATGGAGTATCCCGTGGTGGGAGGAGCGTACCGTGCCGAGACCAATTTCTCGAAATTTTGGCCCGCTGGGTACGGCTGAGGCATGAGAGCGTCACGACGAATGAGCATCGACGGTATGCGGATCTCAAGCTGCAAATCATGTTAGTGTTGATCTATCAGCAAGTAGGGAGCAGGGAGTCTAAGTCTTCATACCTGTGCAAGAATATGCGCATATTTGACGCCGACCTCAGTGGCAATATAGTTCAGACGCCCACGGACCCACGCACGCTGGGAGTCAGTTGTGAAGTCCTGGCTATTGACGTTTGTGAGTGGCCAGGTCAGGAAATATCCCGCAAGACCCTTGAGACTATCATCATCTCCGCACGCAAAGCCGGTCAACTGATCTTGCAGGAGATGCTGCCGCTTGAGATGCCAACCAAGATGGTATGGTACGGACGCGATGATGTCGGTGATTGTATCGACACATGTACGGGCCGCCGTTGCATACTCGGGAGTCGTGCGGTAGTCGACAGGCGAGCAGACCCATGCGGCGCATCGTACAATGACAGAAGCCAGGACCAGTCGGCACACGCGGGTCATGTTCCAGACGCTGGCCATGTAGAAGTCGGGATACACGTCAACCCGTCCAGGGTAAACTTCAGCCTTGCTATAATCTCCGCCCGGGACATTATCCTCCCAAGTAATAGTCTTGAATTGCCAGCCTTCGGGTAGGTTCTTCGCCCAGTTGACGCACTCCTGATCAACTGTTTGAGCGCGGCGGATGATATCAAGCATAAAATCGATATTCTCGGGAGTTCGGGCCACGGTCGACATGAGTCGTGTCACCTCAGCACGCAGCTCGCTGGCTTTGATGTTGAGCCGTTGGGACTGTGCTGCAGCCTCATCCTTGACAGCGTCGGCGAGCCACCAATCGACACCCATAATGGGAGCCTTGGCCGAGCTCAGAGTGTGGATGATCATCTGTGTCCGGACAGCGACAAAGAGATGAAGTCCAAGCTTGGTTCGAAGTTGCTTTCGACCTCGGGCTTTGACGAGCTGAATGGCACCTTCGATATGTGAGCCCCAAGCAAACACGCCAAGTTGTTTTGCCGTCATGTTCTCGAAAAGACCCAGAAGCAATACTGCGGCCAGCGTCGAGTCTGACTTAGACATCTCGGCGTCTTTGATGGCGGCATGGGTTGTCGCCAATGCCTTCGTATACTCAGACAGTGCTCTGTCGCGCAAATCGATGCTGTCCGAGGTAAGGCGATTTGCCATCGAAGCCAATGCACAAGCGTTAAACGCATGCATGAGATGGCTGTTTGATGATTCAGATTTGATAAGTGGAATGAGATGGTCGTTAAAGCCCCTCGCATCACCAACCCGTGGTACAAGGATGAAGTTGGAGACGAAGTGGCAGGCGGCATGCTGCTCAGTCGCTATCCCCAAGGCGGGCATTATCCCGCTCTCTGCCTGAGATCTGAGATATTCGATCGCAACTGGCGAAAGAGACTCCTTCTGATCCTCATCAGAGTCTGGCTCCAGCTTCAACCTCTGCGCTATCGCCTTCCTATTTGCCTTCAGTGCCCTCCGCTCCGTCGCCTGTGTCTCATTGCGGAAAACGAGGTCGAATTCGTCCTTGTACCCAGGGCATTGTCGTCGAGACTTAGCACACTGATTGCATGTAGGCTTTGTCTCGTCACACTGCAACGTCGTCAATGTCAGCATAATGTGCGAACTTGCCTAAACTAATATGCGAAGAGCCTACCTTGATCCGTCGGGTCCGACACATCTGGCAGCCCCTAGAGGGCTTGCCACAATAAACCATGTTTCACGAGTTTATCAGACCTCAGTCTAGAAGGTGCGGTGTTTCTTATTCTTGATTGTTGGTCCTTAGTATGTTTGGGAGTATCGATGAGAGTTTTTGCAGAGAGCAGTTCGTCTTTGAATATCGGGTTTGCAAGATTGGTCGAAACCATGAGAGAAGTCAAAACGGTGGCCAGTCATGAACTCGTCGTGTGCACTGACAGCAGTCTGAAGTGCCATGCACTTCTTTTGGGACGTCGTATTCCGAGGTGCCGTCGTCTTGGTCAAAGTGTTTCGTCCACGGCCACAAGTCAAGAAAATGGGAGCCAGTTGCAGCACGCCTATAGGTATGTAATATGGCTTGTTCCTCCTTGGTCCGTCCTCGGTTGCTTTGCTGGTCCGCGCTGGTGTCGTCTTCCAGATTCGTTGAAATGGGCTCTACGTTGAGAGATCGCAATCGGGCCTGTTGGAATTGGGCCAGGGCAGAGAGGCAAAGTTGAATTGGGCCTTTTGATTCAGACAATTTTTGCCGCAATGTCTGCAACGGAGAAGCGTGAGGCCCCCAGGTCTGTATATGCCGAGCGAAACAGGGCCAATTGGTGCGGAGGTGCGCATGGAATTTGTTGAATCACAGCCACTGACCTTCTGTTTGAGGATTCCCTTTGCGTCAGAACGCAGGAGGGCTGCCCGCACTGCAAAACGGGTCTCCAGCACATTTGTAAGGCGAGGGCCAGGCTCTGCGGCCGGGATGTTCCTGGTTGTCGGGCCCTCAAGGTGGTGGCCACCCCCTGGCAAGCCCGGTAGAGGACCAGGTTGACACAGACCTTGGCCTTGGTACCCAGCGGTTCCGAGATAGTCACTGATTGAGTCGTGCGCGCGTGCTCTTCACGATTGTCTTGCCGTTTCGAGTGCTCCGGCGTGGTAATTGCTGACTCGAATGCCTCATCTCTCCGCTCTGCTAGTCAGAACTTTCCCGCCTAATACCTCCAAATGAACGGAATAAACCGTTTGACGGCCTGGGACTCAGTGGCACGATGCTGTATTTTCTGGGACATGGAGAGACTCTGGCAGCTGCAACAGCAAGAAGCAACATTGGAAACATGACAGAGAGGGCATGGATCGTCACAAATGAGAGACACTGTGCGTCTGTAGCGGGCTGCCGAGGCGCTGCGCTTTGACGACATGCCAGAGACTACCAAGACTCTTCAAGTCGGATCTCAAGCCTCATTACCTCACAATGAGGGGAGGGCTTCACACCACTGTCGTAGATAACTTGTAGTGCTGCATCGTCCTGTAGATCATGACTTCTCTTGATAACAAAGTGCCCCAGGAGGACCACCATCAATTCACCAGCTGACCTCTGGACTAACCGGGGGAGATGCCACTCACTCGAGACCTGGGTAGAGACAGAGATTCCCAGGCTCACGCAGGCAATTGAGAAATGCGATCTTGACGCACCATGGCCCGATAGACGAGCGTACTAGGCAGTAGGAGATAAGCGTGGCGCGGAACTACAGCGTCCATATCCTCCCTAACTAGTAAGCTAAGGTGCTTTTGACGGGCGTTATGTGTCCAGCGTGTGTCCAGCTTCTACGTATGGCATCGCGGCCATTGTGGAGGATGGCGTTTTTAACGCGGCACTGATTTCTTAGCAGTTAGTCTGGCTGCTGGCAGTTGGCAGCGGTAAATTGGCGTGGGTCCTCGCTCATGATTGCGTGAGCCCTGCTAAAAGTCCTTATCTCGAAAGGGGTTATCTGCACAAAAGTACCATGGACGGAGAGTCCCATAGTAGCTTCGACAAGAATTTGTAGACCCAAGCATATTCACGTTTGAGGAGGAAGGCACAGAGATGCTGATGCTATCTCAATCACTCTCTGAACTGTGACCTGTTTAAGTTGCTCGAGCAAAGCTACCTGCCGTCGTCAAGACCCGGAGATGTCATTGCAGCGTCCTTCATCACAGCCAAGGTTTTGCAATTCTAGGGGGAATCATCATCTTCTAAAACATGCCCTTACACGCTCGTCATCTTTTCCTAGCCGGCCACACAGCAAGTAAACTCCGTAAGGGAAATGCCCAAAAGTGAACCGCACCGCTCTCCGGCAGTGTGAAATTATAGTATACATGCGTCAGAGCTATGCGCCTCACGCGTTAAACAGACCAGCGACGCCTTCGAGGTCAGGGCTCTCTCGCGGTGCTCCTGGTTGGCCAGTGCCTCCCGCAGGACCTCCTGCAGGAACCGAAGCAGTCATGAACTCCTGGGCCATTTTGCTCCGCGTTGTCTTTTTGGCCAAGCGACTGCTGTCTGGCTTAATGCCCACGCTCTTGCTGAGTTTGCCCATCTCCGATATACTGACACCCTTGAGATCCTTCAAGAGGTCCAGGACCAACGCACGTTGTTGCCGAGAGTGCGATCCGGGACGACAGACAAATTCAATCGTTGAGTTGACGTCTTGCTGCTTAATATTTGGGAGGGAGTAAAGAACGTCACGCGGCGTTTGAGTCACGGGGCTGTAGAACATGAGGATCGATGCGATAACATGGCCAAGCTCCTTCTGAAGATCAACGAAGTATGGCTCATGGAGAGACGTGATGCATGCTTTCAGGACGTCTGAGGAGATGTACTCGCGAATAGCGCTGCCTGTGGCTTGCGGGATTGGAAATTCATCGAGGGGTCGGGTAGTCGATGAAGTTGATTGCTCCATTGGGTTGACATTTGATGGTATGGACTCAGGAGTTGGGGGCTGAACGACTTGAAATTCCGGAATTATAGACCGGAAAACACGCAAGACGACACCACAGCATCTCCCGTCATGCCATCGGATAGCATGTGCGCAAAAGAGAAGAAGGGGCTCAACAATGCTTGATTGCATCAAGCAGAACTTCCGTAGGGAAGGGTACTTTGTGGAGACATTGATGGTCTCACGATTCGAGAAGCCATCCAGCGGAGGGTCTAGATGTCGTCATTAGCAAATTGTCGAGCCCAAGATGTTTACGTTAACCCACCTATTCTTGCAGGGTCCAGGAAGTCCGCGACCATGACCACCGCAGAGTACGTCAACTGCCGCAGGATACTCTCCGTCTTCATCTCTTCAGTCAAGTCATCTCCAGCTGACTGCACACCTTGTTGACGATCAAGTTTCTCCCATTCTGAATTAATCTTTACGTCCATTTGTTGGAAGCAAGCTGCCAAGATAGGGGGCAGAAAATGATCACGGAGTTGAACTGGACAATGGTCTACGAGGTATCTGACTAGATTCAGAAGATTGATGATTTGATGCGCGGAAAGACAGAGCGAGTCTGCGAAGAGAGAGTGCGCGAGCGGACCAGGCAGTTCGTTGAACCCATAAAATTGTACGTCGAGTCTGCTCATGCAGTAAATTATCGCGTAGCATGTCTCTCGCACAAATCGGACTGTGCCGCGGATTGTCGAGGCGAGACCTTCAAGAGTGCCTTTCTTCTCGAGGACTCTAGCGTAGAAGTCATCCTTGCTACCTTCAGAGATACCAGCTTGCCAGAACCGATCAGTCAACACGCGGCCAACAATTGGGAACATTTCGCTGGGTAAAAGCGACCAGTTGTTAGGGTTATGAGATGCGTGAGCGTGGCTAAGAAACTGTAAAAGTTCTGGTAGTATGATGGGGAATCCATCCTGCCACAACAGACAGGAGGCCTGGTACGAAGGCGAGTTCTTTTCAAGCTTTTCCACAGAATATGTGAGGAATGATTTGGTTGAGCGGAGCGGCAGAAGTGTCTGTCTTTCCTCCAGCTCAGCCTGCAAGGCCAAGCCTTCTGCGTCCAATTCGACAGAGCCCCAGTCATTTATCTCGTGGATTCGGCGGCGGGCGAGGTAACTCTGCGCTTTGTCTAGCGCCATCAGTTCACTAAACCCCTGGTACGACGACAGTGCTCGCTTGAGGTTATCATTGTTCCATTGGGATTTGACCGGCTCAATAAATGTCCGTAACCGTTGAACTCTTGTTCCTTGGTCTATCCGAGTTGCCCGGTGAATGATGATGAACAAGAAGCTCTGGTACGCAACCTGTCGCTTTTCATCCAAGGAGCCAGAAGCTATCATGTCGTTGACTTTAGCCTCTAACTGGTCATAGACATCAAGGAGGTGATCAGGCATTTTGGACGCGAGACGCTGCAGCTCGACAATACTCTCAGACTGTAGATCTTTAATCGCGTCGTTGAAGACTTTATGCTCAGGCTGTGGTGCTGGCCACGTCATCAGAATGTGCTCCAGGACTTTCAGCATGAATCCTGCGTTCTTGTCGAGAGCGGTGGTCGAAAAGGCAACGAGAAGCTGGAGGACTCGTTTGCGAATTAAGGGATCCTATACTGATTAGCTCATGAGAATTTTCGAGCGCCTCGCCCTACATACCTCAAATTTCAGCTCGATCAAACGATTGCACCACGACTCCAGGTATCCTTCAAGCTGTATCTTCTGCTGCTCCTGGGAAAGTCAGTGGCTGTTTGAATAGACTTCCTTAAGAACATACATGCTGGGTGGCATCGCCACTAGTGGTAGACCTCCATTTGACGTAACCTTTCAATGCTGACTCAATAACAGTGAATTGTGCATCAACTCGCAGATAAGGCATCGAGTTCTTCACATATGTAGATGCTGTTGCAAATTAGAACAGCACCAGGTCATCGGTCAGCAAGATCCGAGCGGATCACTTACGATCTAGGGAGGGTTGTCCATCATACAGATGTTGAATAACGTTGTCAGTCTGCTCAAGGATGTATGAGATGGCATCAGACAGCGTCAGCTGCACAATGCTCTCTATAACTTGAGCGCTGTATCGTCTGTAGTTCCCGAGAAATGCATGACGTTCTGGTATTGTATCGGTGTCTTCGGTGAGAAATATGTATGTAGGATCCTGGGTATCATCCGGAAGACTCTCGTAGCGAACCTGCCTTGAACTGCAAACCATCAAAAGGGGTCCAATGAGGTGTGTCTTGGCGATCGAAGGCCCTAGTGCGCGGTTGTGAAGGAGACGGGTCCAGGAAACCAGCACTGGGATAGAAACCACTAAGCTCTGACTCTGCACCACCAGGAGCAGAAATTCCAGGAAAGCTTGCGCGTCGAGATCCGAGGGCATGGCTGTGAACTTGCGATCCAGATAATTGCCAAGGCAAGACATCATCTATAGAGTGGATCTGTTAGCATATCTCCCCTGCCAACACAGAAGCACCTTACCTCTGAGAATTTCTTAGCGAATTGATACTTGTCATCGTCGATATCATCAGCGTCGACGGTCGACCATTCAAAGAGTTGCTTGCAGCGGTCGACGAACTCCCTTCGATACAAAGGCACGACAAGCTCAAGGAACTCCTCAGTCGAGAAATTGCTACGAGAGTATAGAGCGTGCAAAGCCTCGAGGGAAGCCTAACAGAGTTAGCTTACGCGCAAGCAGCAAAGGGTTGCTACATCGAGGTCCGGTACCTTTTGTACGGCAACATGGGGAGCCACAAGGCCGTCGCACATGATTTGGACGCATCTCGAAGCGATGACTGCCTTGGGAATAGCCCAGGGCATGAGTGAGTAGAGGAGCGAGAGCGCCTTGACGGCGCATGAGCGAACGTCCTCATTGCCCTGTATGTCCGAGTTCAAGCACTCGCCAAGGAGCACCGTAGCTCTATTGAGCCACCCTTCTTCCCCACAGCGCACATCCGGGCCGGCCTGGCGGTTTGGAAATGCCTCGAGCAGTACGGCAGCTGGTGTGAAGATCTCGACGGCGGCCTTGCTAAGAACCGCTTCTCGAATAGCCACCACGGCGTCGTCACCGTTAAATATCTCGTCGGATAGGGTCTCGAGGACGGACAATACAAGTTCCTTGTGTGGGCCAAATCCGGGCACTTGCCATAACTGAACAAGCAACGAATCCATATCCTTCCACTCGGCACCCCAACTCCTCTTGGCCACTTCCACCCATAGGATGGCAATCTTGTTTCTTATATAGAGAGGGTCGTCTTTGGATACGCCCTGAGATAGTTGTAGCACCCAAGACCTCAAGTACTCTGCTTCCTGTTCGCTGTATTCTGCCCACCGGTGTTTGATCGCGTGCTCGAGTAAGGACAAGCCGTAGTGGCGTACAATGGGAGATTGGCTCTTGTCGGAAGAGAGGGTGAAGCCATGGGATGGACCCTCGTTCAAGGCCTTGACATCCTCGAGGAATGACTGGGCTTCCTGGCGCGACTGGTTTGTTGACTGTGGGCTGTAGATGATCTGGAGCGCATCGTGAATCCTGGGCAAGATGTTGCTGTTGTTGGGGTCTGCAGGCTGGAGAGAAGCGCCAGAGCTGGGGCCGGAGGTGAAACCTCCATTGGCTCCGAGGCCAGCCATCGCCTTAGGCAGTGTGAAGCTCAGATCGCAGTGGCAGCGGCAGGGAGGACAAACGAGGAGAGACGGAGCTCTAGGCCATCGCACTGGCTCACGGGATGATGATCAGGTGTTTGGTGGGGAGCTGTCCGTGCCAGCGAGGGCAGCTGTGTGAAGATGCAAGGACAAGTCGCAATAGAAAGCACACACACTCTAGGAGAATCAGCTATTAGGTGTAGGGGTTGTCCTGTGACAGGAGGACAAAGGCTACTTTGAGGTTCAGGTTGTCTCAGAGAGCAGCTTGACGAAGTTGGGTCATCTTATCTGTGGAAGCACCCAACGTCAGTCTGGCTGTGGGAGGAAATATTTCAGGCACGCTCGCCGCTTTGGCGCTGGGCGCTGGGCGCTGGTCATGGGCGCGACGCTGCTGGTGCTAGGCCCGGCGTTAGCTAGCTTATTACCTTATGTTAGCACCTAACTGAACAACACCACCCCATAAGGCAAAGGAGGTACAGTACCTAGACCTACCCCATGTCGCCTCGCACAATCTGGCTGGCAGCTCAGAGCAAATCACACGGCGGTAGGAGTCACGGCAGGCAGTGCGGCTCCCCTTCTAGAATGACATTGCGTCGAGTCATCCACCAATGACTGGGCTAAGATGGTCTAGAACACACCTGGGCACCTGCAACCTTGGAGCCCCTCCATCTACAAGATCCTTCAATTGCCTGATACACCTACCAGGTCTACAGTCTACTGACACTTTGGCTACAGTTTTATACTCATTGACGGGCATCATGTGGTTCACAGGCCAGGAAGCGGGCTTCTGATATTATACTTGGAGAAAAAGCCACTTGTATGATGTTATTCAAGACCCGTCGTTATTCCAGGCTCCGTTCGTGTGATACAGACATCAGTAGCTATCGCGCTACGGAAGAGCGTCTTGGAATTCCCATAGACATAGCAATTTGTCATAAAAGCTGGTTGACACACACAACAGATCGCCATCCTCCCCATTCGATTGGAAGTCGCTTCCGTAATTCATACTTTTATGCTCCTCAAAACGGCCCAGAACCTGTGTCTTAATGTCATCCGTAGCGTCACCCCTGATTTCTACAACCCGTGCTCCAGCATGCATGCAGGATACCAAGAGCAATGCTCTCCATGCCCCAGCGCCATGCCGCTGAAGTGCCGCGCTCGCATTCAAGCTGATCAACTTCATACGCCAGACCCCTCCCCCAAGATTGAGCTCTGTCAAGAGACGAGCTTGTCGCGCTCCATAGGTTTCGGTAAGCGGTTTGATGGCGAAAACTCGTAGCACATCGTCGTAACTTCCTGTGAGCACAATGTGTGACCCATCGGCGGCCGCTAGAGCAAGTGGCAAAATTGCAGTGACCCCAGCATCATGACCGCTGACTTTCATTGCTGGATAAGGCGCTTGAAATGCTGAGGTGTCGTCTGCCACAGTTCCATCCTCGAGAGTGCACGAGAGATATCTTAGTGTAGAATCATCTCCACCGGAATACAGAGTAAAAGAACCAGCGCCAACGTCGGAATCAACATTGACAAGTGGTAGACTGGGAGAAAACGCTACGCACCACGCTTCCAGGCTGTGCATGATGGTGACATTTTCATACGCTTGGAGGGCATCGTAGACTCCGCTAAGTTGTGCAAGATACACAGCACCGGTTGATGTTGTGACGGCTAGCAGTCCAGTAATCGTAGGATGCCATGCAAACGCAGTAAACAGAACATCATCTTCAACCTCGGGCAGCCGAAGAGAGCTCAGTTTCCTCAATGAATCGGAGCCTCCCGGGGTAGGTGATAGCCGGAAGGTCGTCAAAGTTCCCGTGCTTGATACCACTCCACAAACATCCTGTTTGCCTGGCTGAGGTTGGAAATGAAGATCAAGTATGGCAGAAGGATGGGAGACGGTCTGCACGTGAGATCTGTATGATATGTCAGAGTTTTGGCGTTTGGGAAGAAAAGTATCACTTACACTTGTCGATCTCTAAGATGGTAGACAACGATGCTACCATTTCTACTCTGTGGCTTCTTCACGGCATCTACCCTAGCCTCTGCTTCCCCTCCCTCCTCCCCATCGTTTTCTAAACACCCTCCATGCTCAGCAGAGGATGGCTCGTCCCTCTGTAGATTATATGTGCCGACAACGAAGTAGGGCGGGTGTGCCGGACAGAACTCGATGCAGCTTGGGGGCAGGTCAAGCTCCAGAGACTGTGTAGATGCTATCGAGGTACCCAAGTTGGCCATGTGAAATCAAGCCAAGTCGTTTGAGGTCGTGCTACCGCGATTTATATATGCTAAGCCCATGGAGCTTGGAGGTTCCCATATCGTTCCAGAAAAGGGAAAGGGTTGAACGCGGCAAATTTTAGATCTCCCGTCGATTTGGAACGGATCTGTAGAAGACGGTGGAGTAACACTTGAGCATTCACTGAAATGGTACCTTACTGTGTACCTAGGTATGTACCTTAGGTAGGGAGCGAGCGAACACCCCACTAAGAGACCCCTGCAGCCCTGTAAATCGTCAGCCACTGATGCCATCTTCCACTTCCCCGGAACCCCCCTGTTGTCCAACTACCTGCTGTCCAAGTACCTTCCATCCCTCCTTTACCGCTCTTTCTTCCAGGTTTGAGGGGCATATGCAGCATGCATGTGCGCGTGCGTGCAGGGGATATTGGAAGCTCACAGGCAACCGCAACAACAAAGCTGCAGGTGCTATGCAGCAGCTTTGCTCTCAACAATGAAGAACCCTAGAAGTCTCTATCTATGCATCTTTCCATCAGGCTGGCCTTGATGGTCAATGAATTGTAAGCCCCGCCTTCTCAACCTGTGCACACATGTATCTACTTCAGGGCCCTCACCAAGAAACAATCTCACACAATTTCCAGGCGCATGTCATGTTGACAAACAAGTAGGATCATACCTTTTTGTCACAATCTCAGCAAAACAGCTTCTGATTTACTGCACACGATAAGGTCATAAGCAGCGCTTCCGACCATGGACTCCGATTCGGACTTCTACGGTAAGCGTTTTCTCTATTCAGGCATTTGAACTACTCATCACAAGAGCTTTAACTGATAGCTTCGAATTCACACGAATCAGGGGACGAGGAAACTGTTGCGAATCTAGAGGCGCGTGTAGCTTCCTTCGACGTCAAAGCCTTCTGGAAGGAGCAAGGTCTTCTTGGCATGGCCATGCCTCAGAGACAGGCGCAACCTCAACCAGCTCCTGCTACCCTTCACAACCCATATGAAGGCTGGCCAGATGCGGTAGGTGACATGTAAACTCCGATGTTATTATTCTTCCTTGTATTGCATCCAACGTGCTAATACTCCCCCCTTCTGTCAACGACCTCCTCACATATCCTGAGTCAATAAGACTTGCTAACCCAACTACAATAGTGGCAACTAACCGAGTCTATTGAGCAATTCCTTGCTCGGCTTCCCCCGGAGACCACGGATGTTAGCGAAGATATCGGGTGGATCTGGATATGCAATCCTTTCATTCGTCGACGGGGCAAGGCTCTTGATGACCATCAGAAAGCTGGCCGAGGGGAGGATGAGGCCCCAGAGGAGATGGGCACTCAACTGGCACTCTTCAAAGAAGGCGGCACCGAGAGGCTGCACATGCTTACAGATTTTGTCAACCACGCCAAAAAGAGCGGCAAGGCGAAGACGGCAATCTCCCGCGAGGTGAACCAGGAGCGAGAGGCGGCCGTGCAGCAGATCTATGCCCTTGCGCAACACTTGCGTGTGAGAACGGGCAAGGTGATTGATTATGCCCCGATAGACAATTCTGCAAAGCTCACAAGGTTACAGTGGATGCTCTTCGTGGAACCAAAGAATGTCAATGTAGTCTGGGAGATTGTGGCTCGAGCTACAGCCCAGAACGAACTGGGGATTGCGGCAAAGGTCGCCCCTAGGGACGGTGCAGACTCAAGACGGGCTCACCTAATCTGCATATACACCTACAACTTCATGGACAAAGATGATGTAGGCAGAGTGCTGGTGCGTTTGAGACAGCTGGAGCTCGTACGTACTGGCGGTAAGCCAATCTATTACAAGGCTGGTAAGTCTTCCCCTTCATCGCTAGCAGATTGCACTGGCTAATCTTGAAAGATGCCCTTACCCACCTCGGCATCAACAGTGGCAATGTGTGGGAGTTTCGAGCGTCATTGTACAACTCCAACGAGATCTTCGGATATCTCAAATCCAAAGAACATTAATATATGACATGAGATGCGGCATGAGCTAGGATGGATGACTTGCCAAGGTCAATGGGAATTGTGGCTTCACCGGCGAAATGATTCGATATACCCCAATTGTGCGGTTTGCTGAGAACCTCCGTAAGATCATTGCCTTTATGTCGAGGCGTTCTAATATTTTGCCGTTTGCTTGCTTTAATCAGTCAAAGAGGGAAGGTGTTTAGTTATAATGCTCTCGAGAATGATAGACTTTTTGGCTTTCTGAAAATATAACGCCTGACGCCGCCAAATATGCATACCAAATGCTGAGCTCCTTGAGACCGATGCTATGATGAATCAAGTGACTTGATAAACCTCCAACCCACAATATGCGCATGCAATCTCTTAGCTAGCTGTCTCCTTTGCCTTAATATCGGAACGATAAATCTCCATCTCAGCTGCCATACAAGTTACATACTGCTCGCAAAGCGGTGTATGGTATATCGCCGACAAGGCTGGACTGGATTGTGGATGTGACCATCGTACTCTTTATTTCCTGCACGGCAGGGCACGTCCGTCATGTTGAATTGTTCCTACCGCTCGTTCTCATCAAGGGCAAGATCGCTTGCGGCTTCTGGATCGATCGACTTCAGCAATAACACGAGCCGATATGCGCTGTTCCCGTTCAGATAGTACCGGTGGAGTTTCTTCGAGCGTAGAAACCCTAGCCGCTCGTACAACCTCATCGCTGGGACGTTGGTCTCCTCCGTCTCGAGGACCACCTCGTCAGCGTTCCTATGCGCCATGGCATCGATGGCCTTCTTGACAAGCGCCGTGGCCACCCCGCGGCCACGGAAGGCTGACGATACAGCCAGCATTGCGATGTAGCCTCGCCGGGTTGGTGGGGAATGGGACGAGTGTGTTTCTAACTTGCAGACGATGACGCCTATCAAGGATGAATCGGCGGGGTTCAGAGCCTGGAATCATCACATGTCAGCCTTGCCCCTCAGCAGCGATGCCATAGCAAGCCTTACCATGAAACATAGATGCCCCCACTGATAGAGAAAGTATCGGTATACGTATATGCTGTACGGCTCGCTCAGGTCCTTGGAAATGAGCGCCCGGATGGCGGGGAGATATTGCGCCTCGAGGCCATGCTCGTATTGGATGTAGCGCAGCTCGCTGGGCAGCTCGGCGACGTCAGCAAGATCCATTTCCCCTCGAGCGGCTCTTCACGGCCAGGATGGGGAGTGGATTGAAGGTCGAGAGAAGTAATGGTCCGTGTCAGCTCATGACAAGCTCCGGAAGGAAGAAGCCCCGCGTGTGGAAGACGAGACAGCCGGGAGCGGTATGGAAACGGGGGGTGAGACCACGGCGTATTGGCACCTGAGGTATGGGATCAGAACAGCGGCTTGCTGACGGTGGAGAGGGACAAGAGGCGCCGACCTGAATTGTCTGACAGCCATTGACCAGTCAGGTCCGCAACGGCAGCCCAATTCCAGAATCGCCTCCACCCAAGAAGCGCCCAGCTGTTCTGCCGTCCGATGAGCAGACCGTAAGAACCCACTGGTAGTAGCAGGACCACCAAACAGAAAGCGTGTGAGCGGATGTGAGTGGGAGTGCGGTTCTGCCCTGTCTGCCGCTTTCACATGCAAAATTGCACACTTGATCATGTGTCGCATTTCTGGCTGCCAGATCTGGACGCCTGGACCCGCAGTTGGTGGAAGCCCGAACCACCCTTAAAGGTACCTCGCAATATGTTCTACCACCACTGGTGTTATTCCTACCTAGGTAGCCTATCTAGCTACCACCTGAAGTAGGAATATGAAAACATCGTAATGCAATTCACACAGCAGTCCACTCCGGGCAAAGCCGACAAGATTAGGCATCTCAACATTCGCAGCAGTGCAAGGTCCTTGATGAAGGTGGGATGAAATCTCAGCTACGAGGGAAAGAGGACGTGAGCTCAGTCCCTCCATCAGAGGCTCGGCATTTGAAATTGGAGTCAAGTGCTGTATCATAGAATTTTGAGGAAACCAGTAGCATTACCAAGCCTCTAGAAGTTCGGGCGGACCAAAGGCAGGCGGTTCTGCAGAGAACGATACTTGAGGGGAATATGTGAGCAAGAACTCGAACGCGACTCCAAGTCACAGATCTCAAACAGCTACATGAAGCCAGTTACAACCAAATCCTGCAAAACAACTAGGCATCCCGCATAGCCTCAAGGACTCGAGCAATGCCATCAAAAATAGTCAAAAACTATCTTTGATCTAGCATAGTTTTATATTAATACGAAATATTAAGTAAGCTCTTTTCTAGGACAGAAAGACATACCAGCCAAACTAGTAAAGTAGGAAGATGAGCAAGTTCACGAAGTGAGAAACAGTCCAAGGCAGGATTTCATGACCATATTGTAGCTCACCATAGCGAATACTCCGAACTCATTCAGGAATAACCGCCACGCGTCGCCTTCCAAACACTGTCCAGAAATGAAAAAGCAATATAAAGTCACATAGTCTGGTATTCCTTCATACGGACCGAATTGCTCGTGCAACCTGAGTATTTGGCGTGGGGCTGCTGAAGGCTGGTATGCGGTAGATACTCCATTTGGACTAACAGCGCTGTGCCGCGGTCAAATTGCCGCGCTGGCTTGCCCGACCCTAACGTCGAATGGGGGGTTTTCTGCCCTGTCACGTTGACGTCAGCTACTGATCCTGGTGAAAGCTTGGTTGGTCCCCCCAAAGCTCTGCGGGCGGCCTGCGGATCAGCCATCGCCAGCATGCACGCTGTTAGCCAGGGGACCTTAGTCAGGACGCCTCCTACAACTCCTCCAACGGTGTAGATCTGCCAAGCTGCCTCTATTCCTTTCTCGGGAATCATTTCTACCGCAATTCATCTTGAACTATTCAAGATAGGCTCCCCAATCTCGGCGTCGCGTCTGAGTGCCTTGTGTCGTAAGAGGTTCTTTGCTTCGCCGACTGCCAACGCGCAACCGCCAACAACACGCTTCAGAAGGCAATGTGAAGCACGCTGAGACGCCTTCATAGACGATGGCCACCACCCTCCGTCGTCGAGCAGTCGGCGGCCCCGACGACTCTCCCTCCGAGTCTCCCGTTTCCACCCCGCGAGATGAGAGCCCGGCTAAGCCGGGACAGAAGGTTAAGGTCGTTCACCACAAGGAGAAGACACGGAAGCGAAGAACTACCGCCATCTTCCTACTCGGTAGTCTGTTTGGGATCATAGCCGCTGGTTTCTTTGCGAAGAACAATGATCTGATAGACTTCCCCGAGTTTGGCGAACTGAGCATGGACAGTTTGTTCGACGTCATGCCTGCCGGGCTGGCAAAGGATATGCGCGATCTGATGGTATGTCGCTCCTCACGTTTGCGCCTGTCCTCTGCTGCGAGACTGATACCCTATGCTTTCTAGAAAGGCGAACGCGACTTCGTTGACAGCTACGATGCGTTTTCTGTCGGTCTCAAAGCTCGATCCGAAGGCCTCGACGCACATCATCCCATGATTATGATTCCTGGGGTGATCTCCACAGGCCTGGAGTCGTGGGGAACGGCTAATGTATCTCGCCCATACTTCCGAAAGCGCCTCTGGGGTTCGTGGACTATGATGCGCGCTTTGGTCATGGACAAAGAAGTCTGGAAGAGGCATATTATGCTTGACAAGAAGACCGGTCTAGATCCTCCGGGGATCAAGCTCAGAGCGGCGCAAGGGTTCGATGCGACAGACTTTTTCATTACTGGATACTGGATATGGAACAAGATTTTTGAGAACTTGGCGTCTCTGGGCTATGATCCAACCAATTCCTTCACAGCTGCCTACGACTGGCGGTTGTCGTATGCGAACCTGGAGGTTCGAGATCAATACTTCACTAGGCTCAAGCTCTACATCGAGATGGCCGTGTACGCTTCCCACCGGAAGGTCGTTCTTGTATCACATAGTATGGGGAGTCAGGTCCTGTTCTACTTCTTCCATTGGGTTGCTTCAGAACAAGGCGGCCGCGGTGGTGATGATTGGGTAGAGACCTTCGTTGAGGGGTGGATAAATGTGAGCGGCTGTATGCTTGGCGCAGTGAAGGACCTTGCTGCCATGCTTTCAGGGGAGATGCGCGACACAGCACAGCTCAACTCCTTTGCCGTATATGGGTTGGAAAAATTCCTCAGCAAGGAAGAGAGGGCTGAGATTTTCAGGGCTATGCCGGGCATGTCGTCGATGTTGCCCATGGGAGGAGATGCTGTATGGGGTGACGCGAACTCAGCCCCAGATGACCAGCCGGGTCAAGAATTGTCCTTTGGATCTTTCCTGAATTTCCGGAAGGGCGAGAATTGGACAACTCCCGACAACAACCTTACTGTTGCTGGCGCCCTGGAATACATGTTCAACACGACAGAGGACTGGTACCAGGATCAGTTGAAGGGCAGCTACTCACATGGCGTCGCTCATACAACGGCTGAAGTTGAGGCGAACGAGCACGACCAGCGAAAGTGGATCAATCCTCTGGAAACAAGACTTCCACTCGCACCCAGTCTCAAAATATATTGCTTCTACGGCGTTGGAAAACCGACTGAACGTGCATACTATTATCGAACGCCTGAATTTCCGAAGCTGACAAACTTGAATATCACAATAGATACAGGCTTGACCAAGGACGAGGTTGATCATGGCGTTATCATGGGCGAAGGTGATGGGACCGTTAACCTTATGAGCACTGGCTACATGTGCAACAAGGGTTGGCATATCAAGCGATATAATCCCGCCGGCGTCAAGGTGACCGTTGTCGAGATGCCACACGAGCCTGAGAGGTTCAATCCTCGTGGCGGGCCTAACACAGCCGATCATGTTGATATTCTTGGCCGGCAGACATTGAATGAGATGATACTCAGAGTTGCCGCTGGCAAGGGAAATACTATTGACGAGTACGTCGTGAGCAACATCCGGCAATACGCGGACAAAGTCAAGATCTATGAAGAAGATGAATACTTGTTATAGACACTGAGGCGTAGTGTTCTGATAAGATCTCTGGCTTGGCCGGGATTTGATGAAAGGCAGAAGGATGACTTTGGCGTTTTGGATCATCCAGGCTTGGAAATGGAATGCTTCTCGGCATGAAATGTGATCGGTGTTGATTCCGCAGACAGTGCGATAGAATTTATACCCGCTCCTCAACAAATGGTGACAAGGTTCATAATGATACAGATTTACCTATTAATACATATATGGTCCTAGAATATGAGATATGTAACAGTGACAACGAATCTGCAAGTGATTGAAAGGGGAAACTGTTTCTGAAGGTAAGGGTCTGGGGATACTGTTCGAGAGCCCTTGTGAGACGCTCGATTTTCAAGAGATGTCAAACGCAATCTGGCATATCTCACCTCGTCGGTGCGTAGTGAACTAGACAGAACATGTCTAAACTCGAGGGGATTCCACACGGCAACCTATCGGGCCCGCACCAGCAGAGAGAGCATCGGAGGATGGCGCCGGTGTAGTTTCGAACTGTGTCCAAGCTACGGTATCGATTGCGCATGGCTACAGTGAGAATGTGACTGCATGGTATGGCATCTCATCTTCTCATACAGTTAAAGGAAGAAATGAAGGGATGTAATTCAGAGCGCACGCTCTATTATGGGATTTCTGAGGTTGTAGCTAAACTAACCATATTGAAGGACATCTGTATATTTTGTGGGTGCATCGAGATGCTTGACTATAGCAAGCTTGGCTAATCAAGCGGATGAGGCTTGCCGACGTTGAATGTGAGAAGTCGGACGGGTAGCGGCAATGAGATCACGCATACGCAGTGTGGTATAATTAGGCGATGCTAGCCCCCGTCCATGCATTAAAAACGCCTGGCCACGCACCTGGAACTCCAATGGTATCACAGCTTCAAGACCATTTTGCCCCGCCGCCGGCGTGTGCACCCGCCTTCGCTGATTCGAACGTCTCTTCCCCCCTCATCCCACTTCCACCGGTCCAGCCATTTCTCGTGCGCACCACCATCGCAAGACAAGGGCGGCGACCCTACATACTCCTCACGAGCCTCATGCTTTGCTTCTGTCGGCGCGTTTCTCGTGATGTCAGTTTACACGTTCTCAGCTTTGTCCGTCTAAGAGAATGGCGGACTTCGATGTCTCGTATACGGTGGAGGATGAACAGCAATTCTGGGATGGTTGGTGCCCCCGGTCATGCAGCAATTGCTGCTGACTGTCACATGCCCCCTTGTTTCCTCATCGTGTGATTGCATCGCATTCAGTAAAGGATGGAGATCTAACAGTCTACAGAACTGCAGGAGATTGTGTCCGCTCAATGCGCCGACCACGAGTTGATCGATAACACCCTGCGTGGCTGGCTCTACCTTGTGGCAACTTATCGAGACAACTACTTAAATAGCGAGGACGATGTTGCCGCGTGCTCACAGAAGCTCATTGACAGCAAGGTATTTTGCGAGAATCAGGAATATGTGCGGACACAGATCATCTACAGCCTGCTCCAGGAAGACGAGACGAGCTCGCTGAACGTCATTGCGAACTTTCTTCTCCTCGATGGGCGCTCCGACGAGTCGACATTCAAGCGCATGATTGATGAAGGTTGCTTTCCGAGACTAGTCGAGCTTATCAACGGACGGAGGGACGATGACCTGCGTCTGCACAGGCTTCTGCTCGAGCTAATGTACGAGATGTCTCGCATCGAGCGACTTCGCACCGAGGACCTTCTGCAGGTCGACGACAACTTCGTCCTTTACATGTTTCAATTAATAGAGGGGCTATCCGACGATGTGGACGATCCATACCACTATCCCATCATACGGGTGCTCTTGGTTTTGAACGAGCAGTACATGGTGGCGTCTACCACCGCCGCAGTCGATCCAGGCTCGCCGACAGCACCGATGACAAATCGGGTAATCAAGATACTCAGTCTTCACGGGCCATCGTTCCGCACGTTTGGCGAAAATATCATTCTGCTTCTGAATAGAGAGACAGAGACCTCGCTCCAGCTGTTGATTCTTAAGCTGTTATACCTCTTGTTCACAACAAAAGCTACTTATGAGTACTTCTATACGAATGATCTGCGCGTTCTGTTGGATGTCATCATTCGAAACCTTCTGGATCTGCCGGACGAATCCATGTCGCTAAGGCATACCTACCTTCGTGTGCTATATCCCTTATTAGCACACACTCAGTTGAGCCAGCCGCCACACTATAAGCGGGATGAGATCCAGAAGGTCCTGTCCATTCTGGGAGGCGAGGGAAATGTTCACTTTGATCCAGCTGACGAGACAACGGTCCGGCTAGTGGAGAGAGTGTCGAAGGTGAAGTGGCTGAATGAGTCCGGAGAAGTCGAAGTCGCACGCAAGTTCCTTGGCATCAGTCTATCGCACTCGCAGGCCGCAAGCAACATCAGCGTTGTCGACGTGGCTGCCGTGATGGAGAAGCCCGGTGTCAAGACCCCGAGCCGCAGAGCCGACTTTGATCCCGAGCTCAAGGACGATGAGAGTAGTTCACCGACGTCGGACGTTACTTCAGACGATAACAAGACCGATATCAAGACCGATATCAAGGTTCAAGAAGCACCGCCCAGGCCGAAAAAGATACTGCCTCAGGTACCCAAGCATCGACATGGCATTCCCACGATTACACAGACCTTACATATCAATGGCAATGGCACTAAGAAACTCCCTCCGAAAGCTCCTCCGCGGAGGAGAACAAAAGCGAAGCCTTCAAACCCCGTAGCGAGCGATTCGCCCGGGACATTACATGAGGGAGTTCCATCAGTCCCGGCCCCAGCACCTGTTTCTTAATCATACACTCTAATTCAACGGCTGTTTTCTGGGAGAATTAAGAAGATATCCATGAGATTGGTCCTTGCCAGGATGTTCACGAGTTCAGCAGCGGAGTTTTGGTATATCGATTGGGCCGTGTGGAGCATTCTGCCCCCTTCTACTTTGCCCTCAGCCAACATTGATTGGCATGATTAGCATAGCACGGCGTTTTGAGGCTTTGATTTCTACTTGTTTATTACCGTTGACTGATGAAGGCCATGATGGCCGGGGCTTCTAGACAGCATATCCTATATAATCGGGATAGGATATACTTAGCAATCAGCAGGCGTATGTTCAGCCGGGCAGAGTTCTGCCCTCGAATTGAGACTTGTACCCTGTTGAATTAATGCCTCCAGTGCTTTGCGTTATTTCTTGCAGATTTTGCGTTCTGTGGATCATGCCACTAGGCAGCCTATTACAAAGTTTGCAGGTTTCAAAGCGTACGCCAACTTTAGGCCGGAGGAAGCTATCGTGACTTTTGTGGCGCCTTCACTACGGCATCTATTGCCGGGTCCAGCCCGGGCAGGCCAATTGTTAAGGGCACTGGACTCCGTTCAATCATATCACGCTACGAAAGGATGTGCAGAGCGAACGTTGCACTTGTTCTTGGTCTCGGGGAGACAAGACGGATTAATCGGCTCGTTGGTGGGTTGCACTTGGTGTAGGCCCATTCCGTTTGCGAACAGCTATCGAATCCTGGGTCTGGGGGAGCAGCCAGTTGCAGGCGGGCGATGACGGCATTGGAGTTGAGAGAAACCTTAGGTGCGCTGATGTTCCAGGCGAGCAGGGATCTGGCTGGGGACCGCTTCAGCTGTGCGCCGCCAATGAGATGCGGAGCTCGACATTGAAATACGTCATCCCTTGGGCTGGGGACGCGCACTAAGATATGAGATATGCAAGTGCCCAGAGCTCAGCATACATAGGTAGGTACTCACAGCAGATATGATATAGCTGCCTCACAGAGAACGAGAGAAGCCTGATGCAGCAAGACTTCCCTCGGCCTGTGTATTGATACAACTTCCTCGATGATGATGATAATGAATGATACTTGGAGGATCTCTCATTCCTGCAATGTTCGTAGGCGGCTTGAGGGTAGCTCGAATGGTTCGTAAGTGAAGGCAAATTGGTATGCATGGCGAGGTAGGTAATTTAGCGAAAAGGAAGGGTCTTTCTCGAATGGGCGGGCTGTGCTCTCGTAGTGCCGGTTTCGCCGTAGTCTGTGCTGCAACGCACATCATCATCTCTTCATGTGCTTGATTTGCCGAGACAGAGGCCAGACGAGCAAAAAGCGGGGAGAAGAGAACCAACTATTGGAAAACTTACGACTGAATGAGTGAGTGAGGGTGAGGCCAAGCAGGAAAACGGGCAGTTTTGCCTGCATTGGCATCATTGAAAGAGGGAAAGTGAAGAGAGCGACAGAAAGATGAGATGAGGGCAGCCTTGGTACATAATTACCGGATGGACGTGGTGCACCAACCCCCTACTAACGTTATAGGTTCCCTTAGGTAGCAGCGGGTTGCAGCAGCCAGCACATGCAATACCCAAGAACCCTGGTCGTCATGAGCGTCTTCTCCACGTAATTTTGTCTGCATCGCCCTCTCTCATCTCCCACCCCCAGACTGCAAACTGCCCGGCTGCTGCCAGCAATTGCAACTCCAAACAAAATTGTCGTCGGCGACGCTTCAACTGCGACGGCATCGAAGCTCTCTGTGCGCGCACATTCCAGCAGCACCGTGGCCCATACCTACTAACCACTAACATCACTTACAGGATCGGGCTCTTAGACTTTTCCGTCGGCGGCAGATCGTACATGCTTGCATTAGGCCTGTCTTACTGTTAGTCTGGGCCTAAGCCAACTGCGACTCAGGGACGCCATTGCGTCAACACAAAACCTAGCTCTCCTCTCCTCTCCCTCCTGCGCCGCCTTTACCTGGCCGGAGCTCCCATTCTCATGGCGACTGCCAAATCTCCACTTGCCTCTCCCTCCTCACACCTCTCCCAGTCCAGAGGAGGATACAGCGCTGCTGCCACGCCGTCCGCCAGTCTTGGGACAGCTACAGTGAGCAGGACTCCAAGCCACGCCGGCAGCTACTTCACTCCCCCGCATCAGTCACACCAACATCAGCAGCAGCAGCAGCAAGGGATCGTAGCCGCTGACGACGACCCGACCCTCGCAAACACGCTCGCCAACTCACACCTGGGCGCAACATCTCCCCTCGCGGACGCTCACCTTACCGCTCCAGTGCCAATCAGGCCGGCCAAGTTCACCGAAGAGTGGGACGCCAGCCAGCGCGGTAGCTCCATCATTGAAGGTGGGCCAGCCAACAACATGAGCAGCATCCAGCGTTCCAACTCCTACTCCGGCTCGGCGACCGGGACCGAGACGGCCAGCCAGCTGCCGTCACGGTCGAACACGCTCAAGAAGAAGGCGTCTCTGCGCAGAGGAGGCAGCCTGAAGCGCAGCGGAAGCCGGCGGAGCATGAAGGCAGGGAGCGTCAGGAGTCTTGCTCTGCAGTCTGCCACAGATGAAGACGAGATTCATAGCGCCTTCTTTTGCCCTGTGCCTACAACCGGTAACCCAACTGAGGCTCTCGCCAGTCGTTTTCAAGGTAGGTTGCAGTCATACAGTTAATTCAGACTTATGTGCCCAGTATTGACCTTTGTCTAGCCTGGCGCAAGATTCTCAAAGATCTTATTACGTATTTCAAGGAAATTCAAGCATACTACGAGCATCGGTCCAAGTCGCTACTGAAGCTCGCGAACGTCCTGAACAATGTTCAAACACCGGCCGGTTTCCTCGCATCCGGCGGACTAGATGATGCACTGCAAGTGCTGAGACAATACAACAAGCAGGCCATTGTCGAGGCGAATAAGGGTAGAGATATTGAAGAGGACGTGGTTCTTGCTCTCACCGGTTTGCGAAGCGACCTGCAGCAGAAAATCAAGGAAATCAAGAATCTTTCGGGAGACTTCAAAAATTCGGTAGAAAAGGAAATGGAGGGTACGCGGAGAGCTGTCAATGCCTTGCAGGAGGTCCTCGGCCAGAGCGACCTCGATACATCCCTCACGACAGGCAAGCAAGATCCCTATCTGCTGCGCCTTGCGGTGGACAGGCAGCTTGAGAAGCAGATTGATGAAGAGAATTATCTCCATCAGGTCAGCCAATTCTTTGAACTTCCTTGAGTAACAGGACTAACAATAACCAGGCATATCTAAATCTTGAGAACTCGGGTCGCGAGCTGGAGGCAATTGTGGTTGGTGAGATTCAGAAATCCTACAATGCCTATGCTGGCATCCTCAAGAGAGAGTCAGACGCCGCATATAGCGCAATCGAAGACTTGCGAACTGGGCCCATTGCTATGCCCAAGGATCATGAATGGGCTGCGTTTGTGCGGAAGGATGAGCAATTCGTGGATCCCGAGATTCCTATCCGTTCCGCACAATTTATTCATTATCCGGGGCGTGATCACTTTGCTTCGCAGGAGATTCGAGCAGGGCTGTTAGAGCGCAAGACCAAGTACCTCAAGAGCTATACTGCTGGATGGTGAGATATTCCCCTTTCCAATCCTCGATCCCTCACTAATTGCAACATTAGGTACGTACTTTCCCCAACTCATCTACATGAGTTCAAGTCTGCGGATAAGACCCAAGCGCCTCTCATGTCACTATACTTGCCGGAGCAGAAATTAGGGTCTCATTCTTCGGGAGGCGGTTCGTCGAACAAGTTCGTTCTCAAAGGTCGTCAGACAGGTGGTATGCACAGGGGTCACACTTGGGTATTTCGCGCTGAAAGCCATGATACGATGATGGCATGGTATGAGGACATCAAGGCGCTTACCGAGAAATCGCCCCAAGAGCGTAGCGATTTCGTGCGCGGTCATTCCCGAAGTTTTAGCCGATCCTCCCAACGCTCGTTCAGCAGCGACGGCGTTGTCGACGAAGACGACGACGAACCCTACTCGGCGCACAACTCGGCAGCCGCTATCAAGCCTCAACCACAGCAAGACGTGCTTCCGAGGCGTCCTTCACCAGGTGGGCGATTCCCATCTGATATCCAGGTCAACGCACAGCGAGGCTTACAGGCTCCTCTCTCGCCGTCTAGTGTAAGCTCTGGGTTCGATAATCAGGACCGCGAGGTCATTGCAGCAGCAGGTGCTCTGCCCGGGAGCGGCGTGGGTCAGGAACCAGCCGGCGAAAAGGATGGGCGTTTTGGGTACGGAAGCACTGCGTATACACCAATGAATGAAGCCTCTTCACACGCTGCCATTGTAAGCCAGGAAGCGCAAGAGGATGGTGTGAACCCTTATACGAGCCAGCCGATCCAACAGCATGGCTCAACCGATTTTGCGAATGCCGCGGCAGCGAACTCTGCTTCCGGAGCAGGCGTGGGAGACGCCACAAGCAATCCTGCCAACAGGACACCTCATGGGTACGAGGATCAACAGAGGAACTCTTACGTTGTGGTCAATGGCGAATCAGCGTACGGCCAGCGCAGAGCTCCAAACTCGACATCCGGCAACAGCTCCGCTCGTAACTCATTTGCGGCTGGTGATGATGCTGGTTTCGGTGTAGCTGCTACAAACCTGAATGGTACGACGAACAGCAACGCATCGGCTTTTGGACAGCAGCCAGCGAAGGCTGATCCGCGGGTAGTCCCAGGCCCGGTCTTGGCCTCTCACCAGCAGCAGGTAGACGGGGCTGCTTATTACGGTGGTGGAAAGGCGACCCGTCCGACAGCTGGGGCAAGGACTGACAGTGGTGCCCCCACCATCTCCAATCTCCACATCCCCGGAGAGTACCCAAAGGCAACACCGCTGAACTAGACAGGGTGCCGCGAGACGCGTTGAGGTAGTTTTCTTTGCTTTACGTTTATCTTTACAATGATTGGCCGCATTGGGGTCAAGGTCTCTCGCTTCCTCTTGTCTCCTGGACTTATTGGTCTTCCCTTGCTTGCATTGTTTGATTCCCGCATGTATTTAGATGAGTATTCAGTTTAACGACAACCCGAGTTCACATTGCTTCCTTGCTTATCGAAACCCGAAATGAAATTGAGAAATCATTTTTGATAGTTCTGCCGATCTATAGTCTCAGCTTTGCGCCTTTTGACCACGACTGTTCCCAGTAAGCTAGATGATGCTGGTCACTAAGGTACGGAGACACAACACAAACTGTTGCTTTGAATGAATACGAGTCTTAGGATCCGTGAATCTTGTTTTATCAAACGAATATGACAGCTCTTGCAATCATGATTCCCGGACAGCATGGTGACCCAGCACAAGGTGGCGTGTGGCTTCACCGTTGAAATGCACCGGCCTATACTTGCGTCTTCATTGTGCAACTGTCTCGGAGGTCACCAAGATGGGGGAATAAGCTTTTCACGGCAGGCGTACCACCACCACATTCGAGCCTCAGCATTGGAATCGAACCACTAGATCGTGGTGGCATTCCCACCCGCTGCGGGCCAAACGGCGAGTGTTAAGAAGAGCCGGCGTGAGCTCTGCACCACCCGCCCTGAACGATGCTTGGCCGCTGTGCCTTGCAGATGGCCCAATCGGCATTGAAAAAGACGTGAGGTGTAATACGGTGTACTACCGGAAGACAAGCCAGAGACAAGCTTCTTGACCTGCCGAATCTGGGTCCAAGTCTACTATAGAGCATAGAAAAGAAACGACAGAGCCTTGCTAGTGTCAGCCAAGGGGCTCGCTTTACATCCACCGAACGACATGTGCGATGAGAACTCAAAAAGATGAGTACCGAGGAATGCATGATCGAGCTCAGATCTAGTGTGTTCCTTCCTGATAAACGAAGGTTGACACCACCACTCTTTGAGTGAGTCGGAGCTGGAATATGCCTTGTCTTGTCAGGAGGAATCTAGGCTAGGACTAAGTAGATGATGACCCTGCTCGTTGGTTCGACCATGGTGGGGATCAACCAGCGGCCGGCCCTGGTACCGGTAGTCAGACAAGCATATACCGTACCATACTGTGATGGCCATTGTCAGTGGCTTCGTGGCCCGGTTCCGTCGACCGAGGGGCTATCCCAGAGGAAGATCATGCCAAATATATCGACGTTAGTCCGTGCGTGCCCTTGTCCGTCTCCGCGGCTGTGAGGGACTTCCTAGGTAGCCTGGGAACCTAGCGGCCCTCGGAGTCGTGATCCTACCTACAGTAGGTAGGGGGGTCCTCACTTTATCGCATTTGATAAGGAAACCTAGTACTACCTACCTACCTGCCTAGGTACCAAGGCACCCTGATTAAGGTTGAATACAAGAACCTGAATACTCGAGCTGATGTCATTGCACTCCGGCATTTGCGGCGGATCGTTGTGATCCGAAGAGCGGAGAACAAGTGAGAGTCTCTCAGCACCGACAGAAGTTCGATCGAGGTCGCATTCCGAGGGACGATTTATCAGCTTGAGCAGACAAGACAAAGGGAAGAAAAGTAAAACAGATTGGGGATGTCCGGCAAAGGGCAGCTAAGCTAAGGCCCAGGGCACAGGACGCAGGCTGAAACCAGAAGGGATTGGCAGTCATGGAAGCGCCACCAAGCGCCTCAAGCGTCGCGGCCGATTGGACCACTGCGGGTGTCCTGCAGCGCCAACAACAACCTCCTTCGACTTCTTCTTCCCACCACCATGTGCACTCCTCCCCAGTACTCGGGGTGTTCAGCCTCACGGCCCTGGCATTGGTCACTGCCAATCTGACACCCCAGGTCCCCCCGTTGCTTGTCCGCCGCCATGTCCTGCAGCCCAGGGCTGTGCTGATCACTATCACACGATCCCAAGGACCCGAAGCGAGCAAGAAACGACGTCCGTGAGCTGCGAGGTGCGCGCTACCCAGGTAGCTAGCTAGCCGGGAGACCAGGTCTTACCCTCATCGCGGTTCGTAGGTGCCTGCCAGCCTGCTGGCCATGCCACCATCGAAGCTATCGAACGGCTGCAGCCCGTTGTCATTACCGGCTCAGAGGATCGTCATCACTATTGAGCATTGACACGGAACAAGCCCTTCTCTCGTTGGTATCTGTCCTCTTGTTTGTCGCACGAGAAAGACACAAGCCTACTATTGCGCTCAAGAAGGGCCGAGGCCGACATCATTACTCGTATTTGCTCGATGCAGGACCACGTCGAGCTTCGATCTTCCAAGTCTTTCTGTACGGCTCGGCGGATAAGCACAAGCATGCGTGCGTGCGTGCGTGCTGCTGCCCGCTGCAAGGCCGTTCATGTTCGTGCTACTGGAGGCTTGGAGCAATCTGCGCAGGGTGATCCCAATCGTTCTGCTCGAACCCTTGACACCTTCTCTGCCCCCCTTGTCCCTGGTCAATCTCTCAGACCTCCCATTCGTGGCCGATCCTGCGTCGTGGGCGTCCTTCTCGGCGGCCAGGTCAGGTAGCTCCTCCAAGGTGGGGGAAGCATGCACCGGCATCGACAATGTGCATAAGCGTCTTCCGGTGACGGGTATCTCGACGGCTCTGACACTTCACTTTCCTACTCTTTGTCTTCTTTTTCCTCACTGAATCCCTGCAACGCCGCCAAGCCAGAGCGTCATCCTAGGCTAGTCATATCAGCCCAAGGACATGGATGACCTCGGTACGCATGTCCCGAGCATGACAGGTAGGTAGGTAGGCTTTCTTTAATTCCTCAAGGCGCCATGGCTCTGAACCCTGGCTTTCCTCTTTAATGTCAGTCCTGTCCCTCCCACGCGTTCGGAATGTTTTGTTTTATTCCACTCCCTCGCGACTGTAGTGCTGTCGATGTATGGCGTAATCCCTGATTCGAGGGATCCCTGAGGTCGAAGAGCCTCCTCCCTTTATCATTCAATCCTCTTTACATGGCACTTGGGCCTTGGCCATCCCCGTGTCAACTATCACTTGTTCGTCAACAAGGTGTTTCCACTTGAGCCTTGCTCTATACGACATCTACAAAGTTGGCTTAGAAAGACGAAGATCAGGTACCAGAGAGCTATGGCGGAGGAACGACCAACATCGATGCTCCCCAACAGTCCTGGGGTAGAGGCGGACTTCCGAAGCGCGACGGACGCAATGCAGAGGGCAGCAGACGCTATGATTGCGGCAACAGAGTCTTTTCGAAGCCAGTTTCAACAGCAACAAGGGCTCTCTCCAAGACCGTTTACCTACCATGCGTATCCTGCCCCAGAGGAAGGTAGAGACAGCCCGTCTATAGTGCGGTTATCAGCAGATTCGCCCAGAGATTCAGGCAGTAAGCCTGGTAGTCTCCAGTTGCCTTTCTTGAATTCAGGAAGTACGGCCTTAGGGACGCCGCACGATGCCATGTCAACAGACAGCAGGCCGCATACGGGGAAGTCTAGCCTTGCAACGCCATCTCCCACACGGCAATCATCCACTCCAGTCCCAGCTGCAGCACCATTGGAAGAGTTCCTTCCTGCGCGACCCCCAATGGCAGCACGCAGAGGCTCCGCTCCGGGCTTTGGAGCGCATGTCATTCCAGGTGTTCTAGACGACATGTCGCAAGGTATTATCAGCATGACACCGACGACAGAATGGCCAATCGCAACTGGCTCAGCACCAAATCTCGCCACGACTCTTGCTCCAGCACCAATCGTCCCTACTGGACCCAGGCATGCTCACCGGTCTTCGGCCCAGCATGTCGATTTACTGGAGGCCGTGGAGCGATATAAGTCCACCCGAACTCCAGCATCGGTGTACCATCAGCCGTCGCCGCCAAATGGGCTCTCTTCAGGCGCTGCTGGAGGTCTGGAAGAGCCATCACCAGTTGTGCAGATTGGACGATATACGTACGTGCGTACAGATACAAATGATTTCCGTTCATCTCTCATCCCCTTGAATGGAGGCATTCCCCCAGGGCCAGGAGCTAAATCGGAAAAACCACCATCTGAGAGACCACATGGCTTCTCGTTAATCCACGAGATCTTGTTTGTCTTGGTCATCAGTCTATCTCAGATGCTGATGTTGTCTGGGATTTCACAAGCACTTATTCCCCAATTTATTATCGGTGAATCGTTCCCAGGCACCACGCCAGGTGATAGGGCATGGTATTCAGCTGCATATGGTCTCACAGCAGGCACATTTGTTCTTCCATCTGGCAGATTGGGAGATCTCTTCGGTCACAAAAAGATCTTCATCATTGGGTTTCTGTGGTTTGGAGCTTGGGAACTGATTGGTGGTTTCAGTCTCTGTATTCGAGATGCTGGTGGACAAGGGACCGTATACTTCATCTTTTGTCGAGCAATGCAAGGTATTGGTCCGGCCCTACTTGTTCCCAACGGTCAGGCTATGCTTGGGAGAGCTTATAAGCCAGGCCCGAGGAAGAATCTCGTCATGTCTCTCTTCGGCGCGTCCGCTCCACTTGGCTTCGTTGCTGGTGGTGCTATGGCGTCTCTATTCGCGATCAAGGCGTCTTGGCCATGGGCATTCTGGACGATGTCTGCTATGTGCGTTTGCCTTGCTGCTGTGAGCGCAGCTGTTTTGCCGTCTACGGAACAGACCAAGAGGAAGGACGGTGAAAGCATCTGGCTGCAACTAGACATCGCTGGCATCGTGTTCGGTGTGTCTGGCTTGGTCTTGTTCAACTTTGCCTTCAACCAGGCTCCAATTGTTTCCTGGAGTACCCCTTACACCTATTTCATTCTAATCATCGGCGTCATGCTACTTGCAGCATTCGTCTACACGGAGCTCGTCGTGACACATCCTCTGGTACCTATTGCGGCCATGAGATCTACAACCAACTTCGTTCTAGGCTGCACGGCTGCTGGCTGGGGCTGCTTTTCGATCTGGGTATACTACAGTTTCTCTTTCCTGGAGGTTCTACGGGGCTGGTCGCCGTTGCTTTCCGCAGCAGGGCACTCCCACGGGCCTATTTCTGGTCTCATTGCTTCCCTTCTAACCGCATATCTCATGGGCAAGATCATGCCGCATTGGATCATGTTCGCGAGCATGTGCGCCTTCTTTACGGGAAGCCTGTTGTTCGCAACAGCCCCAGTCGAGCAGAGCTTTTGGCTCAATAGCTTCTTCAGCATCTTGGTGATGCCCTTCGGCATGGACATGAGCAACCCTGCCGCAACGATTTTGCTCAGCAACAGTGTAACAAAAGAGCATCAGGGGATTGCGGCCAGTCTGGTTGTAACGGTTGTGAACTACTCGATTTCTATTGCTTTGGGCATTGCTGGAACGGTTGAGACTCATACTAATAAGGGTGGCACAGATGTTCTGGCTGGGTTTAGAGGGGCGCAATACTTTGGCCTGGGCTTGGGCGGTCTTGGGATCTTGTTGGCTGCGGCGTTCTTGCTTCAAGCGTACCGGAGAGGCACTCCCTCCGGGATGCCAGGTCCGCCACCAAAGATAGGGTAGACCGATTAGATATCCCGTTTCAAATTGCAAACGACGTTCAAACATGCATGCCACCAATGTCACATCAAGCATATCCACACAGGCTATGGTCTAGTCTTTGAAAAGTCTCGGTTCAGAACGCCTGTATGAGTAAAGGTATCTTCAATATCTACTGCACGTTACAGCTCAGAAAACCCGTTGCCCAAAGGGGGATCCTTGGTAAATTCAAAGCAACCTTCCTTTTCCCTAACGCCGAATTGTGACCAGCCGCGGAAGTTCGTATCCATTTGCACAGACAGACTGATGTCTCACCGACCCCTGCCGAAGCCACCACTGCCTCCACGTCCCCGTCCGCCAGAGAAGCCACTGCCGCCTCTTGAAAAGCCGCCAGAACCGCCACGGCCACCTCCTCTGCCGCCTCCAAAGCTACCCCGACCTCTCGGTGCGCCGCCGCGCGAGCTGAATCCTCCTCTGGGGCCACCCCTTCCTCTGGGTGCACCACGGAAACCACCTGCGCCACCCCTGCTAGGCTTCTTGACCTTGGAGCCCGGAGGCGGCTTCGGCCTAGGCAGGAACTTCTCGAGGGGCAGCAGCTTCTCGCCGGAGATGTAGAACTTGTCGCCGGCCTTGAAACTGGAGGCCTGGATGCCCTCTGAGGGCTTGATGGTGAAGAAGACCTGGTTGATGGGGCCGAGCACCTCGTCGATCTTGCCGATGCTGGTCTTGTTCTCAAGGTAGATCGGGGCGTTGAAGTGGGGGACCTTGGTATTGATGCTTTCGCACACCATCTCGCCCTCGCATGCGTGCATGAACTTGCCCATCTCAAGGACCTCGGCCGGCGGGCCAAAATCTCGCTGCTGGTACCCTCCACGGCCTAATATGAAGAATTGAACATTAGCTGCTGTGCAGTTCCGACGATAGAGCAATTGGGGAACTAACCACCACCGAATCCGCCTCCTCGTCCACCAAAGCCGCCTCCGCGACCACGCGGAGCTCCTCGGAATGACATTGTGAGCTTATGTGTTGTAATGCCTCGACAATGGCGGGTTATGGCCGTACAACGAAGCTCTGATAGTGGAGTGGTAGCTGTAACTGGAATTTTTTTTGTCCAAAATTCGCCGGAGCGGAGAAAGTCTCTTTCCATCTACCCCACAGGACGGGAACCCAGCTCTATCGTGCTGACATAAGGGCAGTGCTAGTGCAGGCCACCAGTCCCCACCCGCCCATAATTGGTGGGTGTGTCGAAAGTAAACAATGCGGCAATCCACAGGCGCGCCCGTCACTTACACGCAGTTCATACTCCCAATCTTCAATTCCTCTAACAAAGACGCGAACTAGAGCTTGCACGCCAAAGAGTTTTTCTACGAAGCCTTCGCTGCACCTTCATATCAAATACAACATAGCGTCTTGAAAAGGTCTAACTCACGAACACCTATGAGGTGGAAACCTCATAACAACGCGCCTTTGCTATAAGTCACGCCCGTCATCGAAGCCGTCACGATGGTCCAGCCGGGCATTGACGGTCTCGACACGCCGCGGACCAACCTTGGGGATGCTACCTACCTGAGTCGCCAACCTGACTTTGACATTACCCAGGAGCCGTCCTTCCAGTCCCCTTCCAAAGACGCCAATGTGTTCCAGCAACTACGAAATGGCGGCCGACCGAACCTCAGAACACCACGGGGCCGCCGTGCGCCCTTCACCGACAGGAGGAACCTGCCCGCCGGCATTGGGGGCGCAGAATTTACTCCATTGCTGAAATCTGTCACTAGAAACAGCGCGCGACGGCACAGCGGCAAGGAGAATGGGCTGGCGACGCCTGCCGTACTGGACAAGATCGACGAGGACTTGACTCCAATGCCTGCCATGGACGCAAGTGTTTTTGGAGCCTCTCGCAACGCGTCCTCATATCTCGAAAACACACCGCTGCCGCAAGTGGAAAGCAGCAGCACAGCATCCACACCCCTGGTCATGCGGACGCGTGCCGACACCAAAGGACCCCTCCAAGACGGCCAGCAGCTCTCGCTCCGAGAGCAGGAGAACGTCATCGATAAGATCGAGAAGGAGAACTTTGGCCTCAAGCTCAAGATCCATTTCCTGGAGGAGGCACTGCGGAAAGCGGGGCCTGGGTTCAGCCAGGCTGCGCTGAAGGAAAACACGGAGCTGAAAGTCGACAAAGTCACCATGCAGAGAGAGCTTCAGAAGTACAAGAAGCACCTGACATCTGCCGAGCGTGATCTCGAGAGCTATCGCCAACAAATTCTAGAGGTCCAAGAAAAGGCCAAGAGGAAGTACGCAGACGAGAGCCAACGCGTGGAAATCGAACGACTTCAGCGGGAGTTAGAAGATAAAGAAGCAGATATAGAGGATCTGCAGAGACAACTACAAGATGGTCATCATGATCAGGACAAAGTGGAGAAACTCCAAGACGACATTGGTGATTTAGAAGCCGAGCTTCGAGAAAAGGACCGGATCATCACTGCACACGAAGATGAGCTTGATGATCTGAGGTCTAGAGTCCAAGATGCAGAGGATTCTAGGAAAGATGCCGAACGACGAATGGTCGAGCTGGAAGAGAAGGCTCAATCAAGCGATGAACTCGAAGAAGCAAAGGAAACCATCGAGGATCTCGAGGCGAACATTCGTCAAATGGAGCAGCAACTCGACGACATGAAGGACAAGTTGGAGCATGCCGTGTCTCAGAAAGATCGAGCAGAGGGCGACCTTGAGGAATTACAAGAAGAGGTGGCGAACAAGTCTGTAGTCACCAAAGGACTTTCTCGACAGGTAGAGGAGAAAATTGCTCGTCTACAAGCGGAGGTCGAGAAGGCTCATCAGGATTACTCCACTCTTGAGAAGCAGTTTGACTCCAAACAACAGGAAACCGATGATCTGAAGGCCAAATTGAAGGAGTCTCGACAAGAACGAGATATGTCAGACAAGGAACGCCGATCTCTTGCAGTAAAGCTCGAGGAAATTGAAGCCGACTACAACTCAAGAAGCGACGAAAAAGCTCTACTCCAAACTCGACACGACGCCCTCACTAATGAGTCTGCCTCGCTGCAGCGGGATGTCGTGAGACTAGAAAAGACAGTCTCACAATTGGAAGAGGAACTAGAACAGGAACGTCACCACGCCTTGGAGATTGAGAGAGACATCAGAGCGCAGTATAAAGACGAGATCGATCGTCTCAACGACGACATCTCTGATCTACAGGCCGAAGTCCGAGAAAAGGAGAACCTCTATGACAACGACAGCGAGAAATGGGAAAACGAGAAACATAACCTAGAGTCTGAGCGCGAACGTGCTGAAGAGCGAGCTGCTGGTCTGCAGAAGACCATCGACAGGCTGCGGGAAGCTGAAGGCTCCTTGTCTGACAAGGAGAGCAGGCTCCAGGATGCTATTCAGAGCGAGACAGAACGACACAAAAAGGAAGAAGCCGTGCTGAGCCGCCGAATTGAGGACTTGCAACAAGATCTTGAAACTCGTCAGCGAATGCTGGAGGACTTGCGCAATGAGCTCTCTACTGTTCGCGATGAGCTCCGGCAGACTCAACTTGACTATCAAGCACAGTCCGACAAGATAGATGGATTGGAGGATGAGATCGAGGTTCTTCAAGCCACCCTGGACGAAGAAACTGAGAAGGCTGGGCAGGATCTAGATTCTGCGAGGAAAGAATCCGATGAACTGAAGAAGCAACTTCGAGAACTTCGTGAGATTGCCGACTCGGCACGAAGCTCTACAGCAGTGTCTGAGGCAACCGCGAAGCATACATCTGCGACTGTTGATCGATTACAAAGACAATTGGCTGATGCTACCTCGAATTTTACCAAGGCATCTAGAGAGAGGCAGGCTCTTCAAGATCAGCTTTCACAAGTTGGCGCCGAACTACACTCCTTACGAGCTTTACTAGCCGAGACAAAGGCTGAGCGAGATGAGCTTGAAGTCGAATTGCAGCAGGCAAAAGAGCAGGACAATGACACATTCCAGCTGGATCAAGAGCGATTCACCTTGCGGGCAACCAAGTCCAGGCTCGACAACGAGGTCCGACGGCTCAAAGAAGAGAACAAGCATTTGTCTGATCAATACCACGCAATAGAGAAAACCTTGGAAGACGAGATTGAGAAGGCTGCGGCAGAGGAGGACCGTTTGAACCAGGAGATCATTGATCTTCAGTCCAAGTTCAAACAGACGTCCGGAAGCCAGGATCTCTCTTCTGCCCGCCGCACGATCCGCGACTTGGAGCGGCGGATTGGAGACTTCGAGATACAATTAGCAACCTCTAACATTCCTGCTGGTGTTAATGGCGAGGGGAACAGCGAGCTGTCGCTCATCAGACGCGATCTCTCCAGCTTCCGACAGAAAGAGCTCGAGCTCCTGCAACGCGAGGCTTCCCACGAGGATGTAGTGAAGGGGCTGAAGCGCCAGATTGCCGACTTGGAGCGCAAGGCTCACGAGGCTGAAATCACCCGGCTGGTAGGGTCACCGACTTCCGAAGGGGACTCAGCTCGAAAGACTGAAGTCTCTGAGTTGCGACAGCAGCTCTCGTCGGCCCACAAGTCTATCTACGATCTGAAGAAGAGTCTCCGGGAAGCTGAGAAGCAGTCAGCGGCTTCTGCGCGTGAACTACAAGATCGAATCGACGACATCGAAGAGCAGAAGCTCGCGCTCGAGCAGGCACTCGAAGATGCACAACAGGCGGCGGACGAGGTCGGCGACGAGTACAAGTCTCAGCTAAAGAAGTACAAGGAGAAGCTCGAGCGGTATAAGCGCGAACGTGATTCAATGGCAGCAGCGCTTGCTGGAAATCGCAGGAATCACGATACCAGCAACAGCGTCAGCAGTGAAATGAGCCGGGAGGAACGTCACGAGTTGCATGAGATGCTTCGAAAGACCCAGATCGAGGCAGATGCACTAGAGCGTGAAGTGCGCGAACACAAGGAGGCCCTTGACGAGCTGATGCAGGTGGAGCAGTCCCTCCGCAAGAAGCTTGACAAGGCACGCTCCGAGAGAGCACTGTACCGCGCCGACGCCGAGAAGCTGCAACGAGATGTGCAGGCTCTCAAGGCATCAAAGGACCAGGCAGATGCCGCTGCCGGCGCCTTGGTGCATGTAGGGCGCAATGCCGGTCCCGATGACACAGGCATAGATGCAGACGCCATCATTCGAGCAGCTGAAGCTGCCGAGCATCGACACGTCAAGGAGCTCCGTGGTATGTGTATGCAGATCGAGTGGATGCAGGCTCGATGGGAGCGGGAGGTGCAGTTGCGAGCGGACGCGGCATATGCGAAGCGGTACTTGCTGCTCGAGCTGGATGTCCGCGATGCTTGGTATGTTTGCTCGCCCCTTTTCAATTTATTACCGTGTGCTAACTCTCGACTACAGCAACAAAGCCGATCTCGTGAAGCTTGACGGCATCATGAAGCAGCTCGGCGTGAAGGGCCGCCCCGCCAGCTCGATGCCAGCCGCGAGACAAATCGCAGCCAAGAAGCAGCCCATCACCCTGAAGCGAGTCGCCACTGCCATCCGCTTCGTCGTGCGCTGTCAGCTGTCGGCAGACGCGTGGCGCAAGCACGAGCGCACCCGACAGCGCCTGGCCAGCGCGGTCGAGGAGGCCCAGAAGCAGAAGCGCATCAAGAAGATGCGCGACGAGTGGCGCGCCCAGACCAGGATGGTGCAGTGATCACTGCTTGCTTGCTGCAATGCTACACCACTTAGTGCGGATCATTCGGGGACCCGGCTGCGGTTATAAGATGTGTGATATTGAAGCTTACCTTGGCCGTGGGCAGTCCCTGATTGGACGGCCATAGGGTTCATTGTGATTGATGCATTAGCCTCGCCCTCGTCGTGTTTTAGTGGAATGGAGTTTAAATAAGGGGTGTTGGGCTTGCAGAGACAAGTATTAAACGAGTAGTTTCGGACGGCGTAGTAGGGGAGTTTTTGTATTAGAAGTATGTAGGAATCTTGCATTCAAGGGCTGGCTGTCATAACGCATTTGAGGAACATCGGAAAATGAAAACAGATCACTCGCTATCGAACAGAAATCATGTGGCCAACAAAATTGTCAAATTTGCATTGTGACTCGACTTAGTATCCAAAGAAGGCCTGCTTTTTGAAATGTTTCGTGTCGTCTTTGCGCATGGAGAGATCGACGATCTGCCTGCCTGCCCGCCTGCCCACCAGCTTGCTTGCTTGCCAGCCACGCCGGCCAAGCACGTACCTATTCCAGTTCGTCAGTATCCAATTAATATCATTGCCGCAATCTCAAAAGCCCAGACCGCCTGCCCAATGATTCCTTCATTCCTGCTAGGTCATAATATGCTTTTTGCGCCAGCCGATTTTTTTACCAGTACAGTACGTAGATAAGTAGGTAAATGGTCATAAAATTTACATCACGAAGAGCAGGTTCGTGTCTGCTGAAGGTCAGTGTCACTGGGGGTCAGTACTACTCGGAATGGGTCCCTCTTACTCAGAGGGTGGCTACAGGAAAGCTGCGGCCTCTGTGTGTATTTGGTGGCGAGCTCGTCACGAATGCTGTTCAACAGTTGAACGTAGCTCTGCTGAGGATTCTTCTTCAGCGCGGTAATGAAGGCCCACGACATGGCACCAGTTGCCTGAGAAGCAATCGTGGCATCGGCCCTGTAGACAAGTCTTGTTAGTAAAGGCTCTTGAGCAGTAGTATGGTGAAGAGAAGGGAGACTGTCGAGGAAGGGTCGCTGGCCCCTAGACTTAGGTTGATCCAACGTGACCCGTCGCCCTAGATGCAAAGTCACAGCCGTACTACTGGCTGTACTTTGATCTAGGGCGTAAAAAAAATTTAAGTAATAGCTTAGATACACTCAAAACGTTCCCATGGCGCATTGTATATGCCTGGCGCCTCTTGTTTAGAGCGCTTGTTTTTGGTATCCCAACTCCGAACGCCGTTACTAGACCAGAGCCATTGCTAAGGAGGCTCTCATAAACCCAAGCAGCGTTGCCGCGTATATGCCTCTTAAGCCCTTCAAAAGACCGCCCAGCGAACAAAAAGAGAGTGTGATGGCATAAATCATGGGCACGTAATTGTAATGAAAGGGTATACGAACGAGGTCTGGTCGTCTTTGCTTCCGGAGAACATGACAACGTCAGCGGAGGATGTTTTGGTGGCGAGTGCTCGGCTATGAGCCTCATCGCCACCAGTAGCCTTCTTGAAGAATCCGATGATGTTGTTGGCAACACCACCGAGGTCGCCTTGGCTGTATGACGAAATAACGCCGAGGAGACCCTGGCCAGCCTCCTTGGCGAGATTGGGCTCCTTGAGAATGCCCTGTGTCGAGTAGATGTACGGGAGATCTAGCGCGGTTCCGGAGTGACAGGAGTCGAAAATGGCCGTAAGCCGTACACCGGGCTGTAGTGGTCTGACCATGATTCTGTGCATTTCGTCGTCTGTGATATGTCCAACTTGCCTGAAGTCGACGGGATAGATGACTTCATCATAACCGTCTTCTTCGTCCCCGTCCAGATCTTTGGTCTGACCACCATGTCCTGTTTTCCAATTAGACAAGTGAGCACATTTGAACAATTCTGAACATACCAGAATAATGGAAGAAAAGCGAGTCATTTGGCCGAGCGTCCTTGACGAGCCAGTGCATAGCTCGCAGGATATTCTGCTTTGTTGGCTGGCTCATGGGGTTTTGTTGATCGTCGGTGAGGATAACCATATCCTCGCGCTTATAACCGAAGTGCTCAACGAGATATCCAGACATGTTCCTAACATCATTGATACAGCCTCGGAGTTGCCCGCGCTGGCCGAAGTAGTTGATGCCGACTAGAAGGGCTTTTCTCCGTCCGGTACATAGTGAGTACTGGAAGGAGTAGTTCTGGGGCGCTCCGTGGCCGAAATGCTGGGGTGCCGTAGGAGGTGGTGCGGGAGCACCATGATTTCCATGCATATACGAGTTTGAGTTCGCCGTTGGCATATCTGCAGTTTTCACCATGAGAAAGGTGTTCTGTTTAGAAGATCACCCGACCGCTACACTTACTCGGTCTGCCGTATTGGCCTGGGGAGGCGCCATTGTAGCTGCCGCCATACTGCTGTGGTGGGGGCTGGTGGATGTCTATCAGATCAAATTGCTCATCTGGATGTCACTAAAAGCAGCATACCTGATTATAGCCGCCGTACGACGGCGAAGGTTGTTGGTAGCCGCCGTAGCCAGGGGCCGGGGGTGGAGGGCCCTGGTGATATCCGTTGTAGCCTTGCTGGGGAGGACTAGAATGTGTAAGCCTTATGGCAGGATGTGTCAAGCATGAGGAAGGCGGGACGATCATACGGATAGTAACTCTGAGGTGGGTACTGCCCAGGCGGCGGAGCGCCGTATGATCCGTTATAATTCTGACCCGGGTATCCAGACATAACGTGTCGGATGTTACTCTGCCTAGAAGTAGATGATGCGGTGTATATGACTCGGCACGGCGCCGAAGAGGCCTCTCACGAGCGAGAGAGGTCGGCTTCGAGATCGCGGGGTGTAGGAAATGTCTCTGGAAGGTTGGACGGTGGGAGGTCGGACTCTTTATACCTGGACGGAGGCGTAGTCGCGATGAGCAAAGGCGATGTTGCGGCTGGAGACGCCGATGGAGCGATTCCGGATGGGACAGACAGGGACGAGGATAGCTGGAGCGGGTAGAGCAAGCAGGTAGGTAGGTAGGTAGTGAGGTATGGGGTGCACGGTTCGGAGTCTTCGAAAAGTTAGCTTAACGGACCGAAGTAAGCTGGCGCACAAGCCTCGAAACGGGGTGCAGTGTGCAGACTGCAGTGCATGAGAATGAGGTATGGTATGGTATGGTATGGTACGGATATGTATCAAGAGTAAGGCAAGGTAGGTAGAGGTAGGTTAGGGTAGGGTAGGTAGAGATAGACAGTCTTGTCTTGTCTTGTCTTGTCGTGACTTGTCAGTCGGTCGGGGCAGGATGGAAATTGGCGGAAGCGGGGCGTGGGCTTGAGTGACGGCGTGTGGGCACACCCCCCCCCCCCCCCNNNCCCCCCTTCCTCGAGTGTGTGGGCGCGCGGGCATGGGCGTGGGACACTAAGATTGGACGGGAGGCAGCGCCGCCAGCCCGGATATGTACCGTAATAGTGATGGAACGTGTGTAGGTAGCGTATACCGAGCGAACGGCATAGCAGGGCACAATAAGATCAGGAAAGGTAAGGTATCGATCGGGAACGGGGATGTTAGGTACCCAGCAACTCGGGCCTTGGGCACAGGACAAGGGGAGAGGCCCTGCTGGGGAGGGAGGGATACTCACATGCAGTTGACCTACACGTGTAGCTACAATAGCTACAGTAGCTACAGTAGTGTGTGAAGTGGCAAGTAGCAGGGACAGGGGCCGGCGGGAGGTTTGCTTCTTGTGTCGATTGTTGCGAGAGTTGACGACGGATTGGGACTGAACTATTGCGTAGTAGTGTGTGTAAGTGATGAATCTGGTAGTTGGTAGTCGGAGAATACTGCAGGTAGGCAAGGTCGTCCTCTAGTCAGTCCAGCGCGTGTGTCGGTGTGTTGGTGTGTT